CTGTTTAATTTCCAAAAACATTCTCTTGTACTTCTGCACAGGCAAGATAAACTAGGTTATACTTAAGTGACCATTAAAATACTTTGACTTGCATTCTTTAAAATAAGAGAAAAAACCTTGCAGCCTTTTCTTATAGACTTCCTTTTGTGTATTTTTTCAGTAAAAAATTTTTCAGTACTGCTAAGTCAGTAAAGAAATTGCTTGGAATAATGCTGTAAACCACTACTAAAATACTTACTGAAATATGCATAACAGATACTAATTGAGCCTTGGAGACTATTTTGGGCTTTAACAAACATGATATCAAATTTAATATAAAATTATTGTGGAAAAGTACTATTTCAAAGCACTATATCCATGTAAACAGCATTAGTGTTGAATCTGAGATTATAAATGGTGAATAAATAAAAATTTTCATTAGCACAGTAACAGATAATTTGCTGTGTTTCCTCCAGATGGATTATTGCAGAAAACTTCTCTGTTCCGTATTCAAGTAAAATTGCAAATTCCCCGACTTGTCATTTTAGCACACAGCTTCATTTTCCAGTACACCAGTATCTGGCCCAGAGGTTGCATCTTCTCTAACCTTTGTCTAGTTTGTTGAGCTGCCTGTTGAATTGTCAGCTTAGATTTTGAAGTGTACTGTGATGGAGTTAGAAGTTGATGTGACAGCACTGTCCCCTTAGCAATGGCACTGTAGAAAAGAAATGTAGAAAAATACAGAAAAGCTAACTTGAGAAAAATGCATCTGCTGTTGGAGGGAAAAGGGGATGATACAAAAACTAAAAGTTAAAACTTAAATGACTTGAAGCAAAATTTGAGCAAGGTGAATCCAGTGTGCTAATGTTTAACTGTTGCCAGTATTTAGAAAGAGCAGTCCCTTGCTGCCTGGATACCTCAGTCATGTAATTTGTCAGGGCAGGAAAAGCTGATGGTAGTTCCATTTAGCTCCTCATATTGGCACTTAGAGCAGGAATAATGTGGTGGGTAATGCTCAAATTGCCAGCACCTACTAGAAGTATGTACTCATTTCTTGCTGTGAGATATGAATTAGGAGAAAGGCACAGCAGGCTCAAAACTTAAAAGGTATAAAGCAAACTTTATTAACAGAACTAAAAGAATAATAAGAATCAGAATAAAACCTTCAGAGCACTTCTCCTCTTTACAACCTCTTTTCTTTCCCTTTAACAATGTAGAGACAAAACCTGAGATTTTCAATCAGTTACCACCTCTGTAACAGTCTTTCATCAGTTCTTGCAGGGAGAGGAGTTTCTCTTGCCGTGCCATGGATTCTTCTCCACAAGAAACAATTTTCTTGTGGATTTGATGTCACAGCAAATCACCCAGGAAAGGAAAATCTGTTCACAGTGTGAAAGTCCCTCCCCTGCCTTGCAGCTTTCCCAAAGCTGCTTTCATGAACCATGTCAACTTATGGGGTACTATTTTAAGGATGAACTGTTCTAGCATAAAAAACCAAAAGTTCTCTTCTTTTATCTCTGGGAACAGAGGCTTTTCTTCTTCTATGTTTGGGGCAATGTTTCTCATCTGTCTGTTCAAGCTTTTTATTAGATTACAGCTTTTCAGCATCCACACACTCCAGCACGAGTGCGCTTTTCTCATGGGCTGCGGGTGAATGCTGCACCCACCATGGACTTCATGAATTAGGGAGAAAAAACTCTATATCAAAAGTACATCTTCACCATAGCCTTACAAAGAGAATTTCAGCCCAAGACTAAGGCATCTCCTCAATCCCTTCCTAACTAGTATTTGACTCCTTTACTGACCTCAGTGTCCCATGTTGTTTTCCTTACATGTCTTCCCCCTTTCCTTTTCCTGATTCAGGAGAGAATCAGTGTTCGTAGGTTCATTTATTCTCAAGCTTTATCATCCTAAACAGTTTTCATAGAGTTCTGCAGCGCTGAAAGGTTGATCTCATGCAGTCTGTGCATCAGGGAGATTGCTCACCAAGCCTCCCACTGCTGCTCACGTGTTCTCCACTGACAGCACGTGAGCCGTGCCGGCCGCCAGCTCCGCTCAGTTTTCCTTCGTACAGAGCGCCGAAAGCAAGAAAAGCTGGTTTTGTTCTTCTCTCCACAGCATGGCTGGCTAAAAGCAGCTAAACAGAGTTCACTGGGAGCCGTGCCGAGGCAGCCAGGGCCGTGTGCCACTGTCCCGATTGTGCTGATTCCGGCCGCGCAGCCCTGGCCACGCGGCTGCTCCCGGCACAAAATGGTGGTGGCCGCTCCTGGCCTCAGGGCCAGCCCCAGTGCAGACCACAGAGCCACTCCTGGCATTGGTGCGGCCACATGGCTGTTCCCAGAGCCAATATAACCCCCGGCTGGCACGGCCCAGAGGTGCCGCTGGAAAAACACTGGGAAGGGGCCCCAGCTGCCCCCCGGGCCAGGGCTCGGCGGACTCCCCGGTGAGGGGCTCGGCAGCCTGCTCACCTCCCCTCGGGGGCAGGAAACCTTGGCCAGGCCCCATGGGGCCGGTCCCACCGGCACCCAGTTACCTCTTCAAAAGCCAGAAGCCACGAGTGCGACTTCCTGGGCTTTCCCATGTTTAAATGTGAATCTCACAGAGGCAGACCCAGCTTCTAAATGGTTCAATAGGTTGTCAGTTCTCAGAGCTAGCCAGCTATTGGTTTTTGCTGGGCACAGGCCAAGCTCTTAGCAGCTTCTCTCAGAAAAATAATTTCCATGGGTGGCCTCTTCCCTCCTCAACAAATGTCAATTAATGCAAAACCATCATGAAGACTCGTTGCCTGGGGAAGTATCCTGAACATGCTGAAACAGCGGATGTCCCACACATGTGAGTGAGAGACTTCTAAAAAGGGAATGGAAGGAGAGGTGGGATTTTGGGTTTATTCCTTGTAAAACAGTGCTGTTTTCAGAGAAAAAGATTCATTAATTACTTCTAAATTTACCTGAGTTGACAGGTTTCCAATAAGACTGCAAAACTCTCTCAAGACCGCTCTAGGTATCCACACTGCCTTTTAGACTTTAAGCTAAGACTGGTGTCTACAGATCAACTCTTGCATCAGACAGTGCAGGAGCCCTTCTTTGAGAAACACCACATTAGTTGTTTGTCTCCCTTTGTTGACAGGGCAGATGTTATGTTTAGAGACGGCTGGGCCATATGGCTGATGAGGGTGCCCTTGAACATATTTTAAAGCACAAGCACAGGGAAGATGTCTTTCCAAGAGTATGGATTTTATCACCCCAGGTTTGATCCTAAAGGCAAAGCTGACATTTAACAGGCAGTGCAGTAGGAGAGTAGGAGCTGCGCTCTAGGTGAATTGTGTTGAGGACTCAGCACACATGCAATATATATTTTAGGGTATTTAGTCTTTGGACTAGCTTCAGCCTGGTCCCATGGAGTGAATGCCTATCAGCAGTCCTTGGTGTAACTGCTGGCTTGGCTTGATCCAAAAGGCCCATGCTTCAAGATACCTTTGATGGGAATCCAGGTACAAGCTGGTGTGGGAGGATAGAAGTCTGGCATCAAACTGGTCCAAACTAAGGCATGAATGTGGACAAACACCTTGACCCCATCAGTAAACTGGAAATTTAGGTGTCTCTACTGCAGAATTATTCTTCCCAGTGCAGCATGGCAGAGACTGCTGCAACTAGGCTCCTACAATTTGGTCTGAATCTAGGGCTTGAGATTATTTCCTCAGAATTCTGCACAGTTCTGTACTCAAAATCCTTTTACCCTACTTTTTTATTACAAGAAACAGCACTTTGAATATAGAAAAGCTAATCACTGCACTCTTAAAGAAAATTTTGACTTTTATGGATATCACTTTTTTTTTTTCTTGAAAAGAGAAAAATGCATTTAAAAGGTACCTTCCGTGTAAGTTGCAAAACCCACCAATATTGACAGTAAGGTGTACTAGACTCTTAAAAGAGCAAAATTTTGGTATGGACATCTTTTTTAATTGTCTAGAACTCATTAGTTTTCAGATCTGAACAGAAGTACAATCCTCTTTGCAGAGTCCGTGTATGAAAATTACAGAATACCTTGCATTATTCAGAATTGCTTTAGTCTCCTTTCTGTTGCTGCTTCTAAAAGTATTTTCTGTGGCACAGTATGAAAAAAATTATACTTTAAATGCTGGTAGGGGCTTTTTGCCTTGTAGCTATTTTTTTCTTTTATTTGTTCTTGCTATTGATGCATCTGTCATGATATTGAAAGACTTTCACTATCTTGCGTTTAATTTTCTACCTGAATTTAGGCCACTGAGCATTTGGGACCTGGGGGCTTACAGGCCCCTTTAGTGTAATAGTCATTGTTTACTATGATTTTTTTTGTGCATCAGAACTATGTTCCTTCAGCTGTGTAATTTTATCATACATAGTTTCAATAGCACAGGGCATTATTCTTGGGTTTGAAGCTTCAATTGCATGAAAGAGTCTGCATCTCTTTCTGGTCAACCTGATGGTGATTAAAATAGAAGTAGTAATAATACAAATGATATATGCCATGAAAGAAAACTAAATCTTTTGCTCCCAGGCATGGTAATAGTAGCATTTGTAGTAGGAATAACATGATTCTTCTTGCTGATTTAAATGGTGCTAAGGCCTTAAAGAAAACGAATCCTGGGGATTACTTCTAGTCAAGATATTTTTCTGTTAGTTACATAGCCAAAATGTCTTTTCACAAGACTGACTGATTTCTTTCTGCTTATGTTTCTCCATCTTTTAATTCAAAATAACTGGTATTCACTTTGAAAAGAACTTCCAAATAATCCAATAGATGACTGCCAGGTAGGTTTATGCAGGATACACTTTACATCATGACAGTGCTGGGGGAAACATTGTAGAAAGTACCTGATGGCAATTAAAATTATGACACTTGATCACTGCTCACATGAAATATATTTTACATCAGTGTCTCAGCAGCTGTTTCATGAGTGTGCACTTCAGGGTAAGATGTGATGTATTTACTTTGTGGGTTATTATTGTAAGGATTTCTTAATTAGGCTCAATTTCTTACAGGAGGTATTGAAACAGCTACAAGGAAGTATTGAAGATGAGGCAATGGCATCTTCTGGACAAATTGACTTACTGGAACGACTTAAAGGTAAATCTAGAATTATGTTTTAAGTAGGTTAATTTCTTTCTCCATTGTTTTTAATTTGGGATAAAATTTTCAAAGTAATTTGTATCTTTTTCCAGTGCTGACCTTAATGATTAGGCATAGTCTCAGTGCCTAAACATTTTTGCTAAACATTTTAAGATACATTCTCAAAAAAAAAAGTCTCCATTTATACTTTGCTACTGTTACACTAGGATTTCACATTAATTGCTTTTGATATAACTCGCATTTCTTTTCTTCAGAAAAAAAAATCCGTATAGGTTAATGTTGGTGTAGTTCCACCAATTTTCTAAACTTGTTTGCATGTCCTGCCCTCTTCATGTCATATTACTGGAATTGTTTCTGTCATGCTGTAAATTGATGGCCCCTTCCCTATAGCATGTGCTGGAATGTGTATCATCCCATTCTATGGGAAGTGCCAGCAAGCCCAGACCACTGACTCCCTGTATACATCCATTATCCCTGCCACTGACACAGAAATTTCATAGGAATGTCTACACTTAAGAGCCGTGTGATGAACAGAGTCATGTGTTACATGATGGTGAAGCATTTGCAGGATTTCTGGAAAATAAATTGTTAGGAAGTGGGCCACAAGGTAATTCACATGATGTTTATGCAAAAATCCATTTCTTAAGTCCTCTGGGAAGGAGGCAGGCAGGCTTTTGTGGGGATACTGTTCTGTTTGCTAGGATTGCAATTTGGCCATCTGCTCAGATAACTGCTGTTCTCCAAGTCCACCATATCCATTGTTTTTATTCACAGTATTTGCACTACATTTCTGTGCAAAATGTTTCCATGAAAAGAACCCATACATTTGTTCAGGAAGTAAGAAATTAAGATAGAAATTATTTTTTAACTTTGTGCTGCTGAACCTTCAGCTCTGAAAAACGTTTGCTGTTTATTATCCAGAACTGAATTTGGAAAGCACCAGCTTCGCTGGGGTGAAGTTAAGGCCAAAGGTGTCCGTGCGTTCCTACGGGAGCCGGGAAGGGTCCGTGTCGAGCCGTTCAGGGGAGTGCAGTCCAGTCCCCATGGGGTCATTTCCAAGAAGAGGCTTTATGAATGGAAGCAGAGAAAGCACTGGTTACTTAGAAGAGCTAGAAAAAGAGAGGTAAATTTATTTGTTTATTCCTCCAGCATGGATTGCCTTCTAATTTTAACATGGAAGTTTACTGACGTATCTATCATGAATGTGGTTTTGATCAGTGATGTTTTTACCTTGACAGGTAATAAACCAGGAACCTACATTTTATTTAGATACACATGCAGAAAAATATTTTTTTTTCAGTATCATTCAGTTTATAGTGCTTCTTCATATGTGCATTTTCTTTTTTCTCTTTGTTGGCTGAAGGTTTTTTTTATTTTAATAAGCAGGTTGTCACTGTGTGAAACATTTAAATAGTGAGGGTGGAGCATTCTGTCTCCATTTCTCCTCACCACTGTTGATAAACACTGAAGCTGTAATGATGTGATCGTGAAATCACTTTCTCTCTTTTGCAAATGGTTATTAAGTACCATAGCTGGTTTATCAGTTATTTACTATTAGCAGATATTTACCTAGTGTCTCTACTCTCTCAGCAGATGTATCAGTTAAACAAAATATGTGTTCTTATTTTCAGTTGTTTTGCATTGAAAAAATCCTGGAATCTCTTTTCTTGAAAGGCAGTGGTACCCATTTATAGGAAGAGCTTACTTTCAGGTCATAATACCTGAATTATGTTCAGAATTTTATGTTCAGATAAGCACTTTATCAGTCACAAAGGAAATGCAAAGTAAGAGACATGCAGCTGTTTCCACTGAAGCCATCTTTATTTCTTAAAATGAACCTGACTGAAATACCAGATGTTTTCAGAAGCCCTTCTGTAAGACAGGATTTCATAAAGATTTGGTCCAACTTAATGGATAGGTTATCAATCTGTGGGCTGCAAAACCAAATAAACTGCAACCCAGTGTATTTATGCCTAGTAGACATTAACAAGAAAAAAATCCATTTTGAAGTTGTAATACAAAAGCTTTGTGGGTAATGAGTAGGTTGTGGACAGCGCTCTAGAAAAATCCTGCTCTAAAGGATTTACTCTGGAGTTCAGCAAATTTTTTGCAGCCAAGCCCTGAAAGGAGTATGCTTTTCTTCCAAGATATTATGTCCAGATCCCTTTTTTTGGTCCTACCATACTGAGCCTGTTCTAGCAGCCACTCTGGTTTTTTCCTTCTCCTAGTCAGGATCACCACTAATGATATTTGTTCTGCTGCATAAAATGTAGATTTCTGAGGACCTGTATAAGAATATTTAGGAATTTGGGGGTATCTACTTCCTCATCTCAGTCTTCAAGAGTCTGATGTGTCTATTATTGACTGTCTTAACAAACTGCATTTGTTGTATTCTTCCAATGCTGTATTTTACTAGAGATGATACTAAAATATTTAAACAGAGTTGGAACTTTCACTGTGGTTCCAGTGAACTCCTGCTCACTTGGAACAAGCAGCGTTTATAGCAGCCAGAGTTCTTTAAGGTGATTAGCACCTCTGATTTATGGTCTGTGATCCTTCCCCACCCTGGTGGATTCTGACGTGAGAGTTCTTTGGACATTTTTCTTGGCAGTGAAGACAGCTTAGGCAGTGAACCAGTCTGTGTTCCAAATAACGCTGGAGAAAAGAGATGAGAATGTTTTAATTTCAGAATGGTTTAGGCCATGTTACTGTTGTAGTAATGGGGTAAATATTTGTTCTGTGGAGAAGATGGATCTGTGGAGGCATGGCCAGATCACACCTGGCTTCATTGTTAATGAAATGATGGATATTCCAAAAATCAGGATACATGTGGAAGCATGTAGGGCATTGATGACAACCTGGGTAGCCAAAGGAATCAAAACTTGGGAGGGTATAGGACTGTGCATCTAGAGTCACTACCATTTCTAAAGGAAAGTTAACCACTTCTTTTCCTGTGTTTTGCATCTAAACTTGTTTGGTGTATTTACTAAATGTGTATCTAAATGTTTTTACTAGGCACATATTTGGTTATCAATTTTGGATTTTTGCACTTAAACAGACTTTCAAGAACTTCTGGAACTTGACAAGCCTAAAATAATTTAGAATAAAATGATACTTTTCATAAATATGCAGCAAGAGACCATTTCCACTCAGTATTTTAACATGCTGGCACAATATATGCTGCTTATGGGCAACAGTGTGTGAGGACTAAATGATGTTTTTAAATATTTAGAGCAATTTGTTGGGCACCTGGCATCCAGTCAGGTGTGGGGTCAACCCACCACACTTGACTGAAAGTGAACTTCTGAAGGGAAGAAAATTTATGAATTGATTTGCCTGCCAGAATGAAGATTAAATTATTGATGCATATCTCATTTACTTGGCTTTCTTCTAATTCCAAAGTTTAAAAAAAACAAAGGAGAAAAAAAAAACGGGCAGTTGCAGTGCTATGCTTTTAAATTGCCAGTTTAGAATACTCTAACCATGAAATATCTCTTGCTTTCTCTGGCTATTTCCAGGTATACTTGATAAGAGCATAATATCAACAACAAAATTTTTCAGAGTACACTGCATGTTAAAATTTTTTTGTGTTTGTTTGCCCTTGGCAATTTAGCAAATTTAATAATCTCATCTTTTTTAATTCTGTAATTAGCCACTAATGATGACAGTCTTCTGAGAAATTTTATATGAAAATGTTTGTATGCCTTCTTTACTCCTTCTGGTTTATGCCATTCCTTTTTCATTTCTTTAATGTTGATTTGGAGCATTTTCTGTCTCATGGCTTCTTTCTTCCATTATGCTTATCTCCTTTTGGCTGGCTGGTAAAACTTACCTCGGACTTTACAGCATCAGCACTGCTTTTCAAGATTTCATTTTATCTCTCACCAATTGAAGTTAAAGTATTACTTACAGTTGTGATTTACATAATGCAAGTAGAGTAGCATATAGTTTGTTTCCCTTCTCCCTTTTAGCCAGGAATAATATTGACATAATTATGCAGAATATACTTCAAAGAGAATTAAAGAGTTTTCTGCATTCATTCAGCTTCTTCTGTTGTTTGGAGCTTCAAAAGTACATGAGCAGCCTTTGAAAAACCCCTCTTCAGAAGAACAGTTCAAATTGCAAACTTTTTGTTAATTCATAACAATAGTGTAAAGTTCCAAAGGCTTTCTTCATTTGCTTTGCTGAATTCTCAATGAACTTGACAGGGTATGACAGAGAACAGAATTTTCTCTTATGCTGTAAAAGTCCTAATGTGAACATCTTGGGGGTATAAAAAAGATGGAATAACTGCAGTGTTTGTTTCCACCTTGTTTTCCATGACCAGTAGCAGCTCTTCCACTTTAAATCCTCTCCTAACCCTAAGAAGCTCCAAGAGCCTCAGAAGCATCTGTACTTCTGGTTGAAATAGTATCTCAGAGTAAGGTTAAATGTGGGGAAAAGATTATCAAACATATCTACAGAGAACTGCTGCTTATTTTCAAGGAAACTGAAGTGCAGCCTGCTGTAGTTGCAGCGACCCTTCAGATTTTGTGCTGAAAGAACTTAAAGACTGTTAAAACCTTAATTCTCATGGAGCACTGATACCACACTAGTAATCCCAAATGAAGCATCACTTCAGAAAACAAAATGACAATATAAAATTAAACAAGTTGCCCTCGGGTCATATATTATGTTGTTTATGCAGCACTGATGGTTCCTGTGCTGGTTTTTCATTGAATGACATTTGGGGAAGGAGTAAGAAACCACTCACAGAAATTATTTCTCTGAGTGAAGCTGCTGGGAGCTTTCACTGTGCCTAGAAAAGGTCAATAGCTGGCTAGTTCTGAGAAATGATAGCATTTTGAACCATTTAGAAATTAGATCCACCTCTGTGAATTACACATTTTAAAAACTACGAGCTTGAGAATTCTCTCTTGCTTCCGGACCCAGGAGGTAGCAGAGGTGTGGTGAGGCCGGCCCTGCTCGCCCACGGCCTGGGCGGCCTGGGGGAGGCCGGGCCGGACGCCAGCGGCTCCTGGGCGAGGAATGGAGGTGGCAGGAGCCTGGCCCCAGGCTGGGCCTGGCCACGGCTGCTGACATCTTGCCGACGCTGAGTCCTGCGTGGCGCTTGACAGCTCCAGGCCGAGCCTACTTCCCCTGCCAGGGCAGAGAGGTGCCCCGAGTGGCCTGACATCCAGCACCATGCCTGCTGCGGCCACTAGATAAAAAATGGAACCCTGTCAGATAGGCAGATGAGACCTCCAGACCTTGTTCTTCTCTGCAGGAGAGAAAAGGAGTGACGACACTGAGAAAGACAACATGAAAACACTTAAGTCAGTAAAGAAGGAGTCAAGCCTCAAATGGAAGGAGAATGAGGAGATGCCCTAATGGGCAGATGGCCAGTGATATACTGAAATATCTCCTTTATTCATGGGAGAGTATGGGGGGATGAAGTATTCAAACTGTAGATCTGAGCGGAGGCATCCATTGATGAAGCCAAGCAGATAGTGGAGTAGCTGTAACCCTATGAGAAGCTTGAACAGAGAGAGAGATGAGAGTGAGGAAGACCCTTTGCCCCCAGGGGGAGAAGAAAAAAACCTCTGCTCCCAGAGATGATCACAGAGTCAGATGGAGAGAACCTTTGCCTTTGAACAGCTCATCCTTAAAATAATACCCCAAGAGTTCATGGCCCATGGACACACCTGTAGTAGGGCTGTGAAAATGGGAGGAATTTCGCAATGGTAAAACTTTTCCTGGGCAGCTGCTAATGGTGGAAATAAAAAAGCCATGAGAGAATTGTTTCTTGTGGAGAAGTCTCCATGGCATGACAAGAGAAAACTCTCCCTACAAGAACTTAGGAAAGACTGTTGTATAGTTGGTAACTGATTTAACATCCCAGGTTTTGTCTCTACTTGATCAGTTGGGAAAGGAAAAAGTTGGGCAGGGGGAGGAAAGGTGTTTCTTATTCTTGCAGTCCTGTTAGTAAAGTTTCTTTATACCTTTTAAGTTTTGAGCCAGTTTTGCCTTTCTCCTGATCCATATCTCACAGCAAGAAATGGGTAAGTGCACTGGTGATTTTAGCCAGCGCTGAGATCCACCACATTTTTTGGCGCATTGGCTAGGAAATTCAGATGGGCAAATCTAAACCAGTACAGTTCCCAAGTTAATTTTCTTGCATCTAGCATCCATTGTGCATGTTGAAACAGATTGAATGGCACACCGTCTCACATACTGAACATCCTACGTTTCATAAGACAAGCTCAGTCACATGTTTACTTAGCTGAAAGTAATCCCTCCAGTTTCTGCTACCAGTTCTTTGATGTCCAGAGGCAGAATTAGTCCTTTTTATCTACAAGTCCTCAAAAGTTAAAATACTTTTTATAAGGATTGCATTAATTATTTGTTTGCAACTTTTATTTCACAGCCTGGACAAAACTGGTGCCTGGGCACTCAGAGTGGTAAAAAGTGAAGAATTTCACTCTGTCCAGAGATTAGGCACCACGGCTATGTGGCAAGATAATGGGCAGGTGGGAGGGGAAAAAAAGCTTTCTCAACAAGCTTTCCCCAAGCACCATCTATTAGTTTTGCCTTCAGTCTGCCTGAAGGACTTTAGGAATGTCTGTCAGCCACATCCTTGTGACTGAAGAATTACTGCTGTTCTGTGATACTGCTCGAGTTACCTGCCAAATTACGGTAATTGTTTGTTACTTCTTTTCAGTCATTTTTATTGCAAACCTTGGCATCCTTAAAACAAATCTGTTTCAGCATGACTGTTGGATCAAATTTGGAAATTCATGTAATTTTGTTAATGTTTACAAACACTTAGCACTCTTAGATGTGTGTAGTTTTCCAGCATCATGTTGAAGGGAGGGATCCTCTTTTAATTTTCCATTTGCACAAAGGCTTATATTGGATATGCAAAATATATTAAATCATCAAAATTAGCTTGAAACATTTTTTAAAGTCAGATTCTTCTGAACACAAATTTTAAAATTCTTTGTCCTTTGTTTTGTGTGGAAGATGGATTACCTTCTCAAAGCATGTCTGTGATGCATTATCAAAATAGGGGAAATTTGTATTTCTGTTGTATGTTATGTAATTGGTCCTTAATGACTTAGAGTAATTATCCATAATGTGTTTGTGTGCTTTATAAAGGTTCATATGCACTCGTTCAGAAATGCCACAGCCAGAGAGGGATGCAAAAGTTAAGGGATATAAAACTGGGCAAACGTGTATGCAGCTTTCTGTTTTTTGGTTAAGGGTTGATTTTGTCATTTCTGTAAATGACCAGTATTAGAACATAAGAAGGAAGAACAGTACTTAGCATTAGAAAGAAAATAAACTTGTTTAAAAAAAAAAGAGTGGCTTTCTGTTTATTCCTACCAGCCAGGTTTTGCTGGAAAATTTTAATATTTATTTTGAAGAATATAGTAGCCATGAACGTTATTTCACTATATTCATAAGGTTTAGAATGATATAAAATTCGGTTCATGAAGGATTAGTAAAATAGCATGTGAAATTTTTAATATATATATTTTTTTCCTTGATTGTCTGCATATATTATTCATTTTGTCTTTCTCAGTTATTACTTAGGTATGCAGTGTGCTTATGATACCCATTTAAAATGATATTAATAGCTGCAAATGTATCTTGTCTATAATATTTGGTGGGAAATACTGGTTTAAAAGTATTTTAAAAGAGAAATGGCTTATTTTGTGTGCTTTACCCATAGTTTTGCTGCAGGTGACAAAATGAGTAAAATGACAGTGCAGAGGTGAAGATTCTCAATTCAGTAACAGGACTGAGGGTTGTACTTGCTTCTGTGACAGACCTTTTCTTAAATGTTGTTTGCAAGAAGCAGGGTGCAAGTTAACACACAATAACTGGTTTTAATTTCACAGAAGGTTTCTTAGCTTTGGATTTTGAAGTGGGTTTTTTAGAGAAGTATGTGTATTTTTCATCTCATAGATGAGGACCTGAAATGCTTAGGACAGATGAGTGGATAGGTTGATTAGCCAGAGCCAGGGAGCTGAACTAAATGTCTCCTTAGTGCCTTATTCAAATCTCCAGATGGAAATGAGGTGTTAATGGTAAGACACTTCCTCCTTTTGCTTTTAATAGATCCCTGTTGCTTGCGGAGCTTGAGAAGGAAGAGAAAGAAAAGGACTGGTATTATGCCCAGCTTCAGAACCTGACTAAAAGGATAGATAGTCTCCCCCTTACTGAAAATGTAAGTACCTTCTGAGTGCTTGGCGAGGTGTCTGGTGCTACAGTTTCTGTTGAGATGCTATGTGTATTTTATTAAATCAGTGGCATTCTCTACTAACACTTTAGTTCAATTTTTTTTTTTTATTCAGTATGTAATGATAACTTAACCTAAATCATACATTTTTCTCATAGAATTTTACACATCAGAATTCATATATAGCAGTATAAATGTCAGTGAAAACAGAGGAGCATTGAAAAGTCATTATGACAAATTAATTGCATGTCAGTGCACTTCCTTAACTCTGTTTCCCCCTGTTCTTTTGTTTGGTGGATTTTTCTAGTTCTGAGAATAATGTTGGCAAACTACAATGTACAGAAGAGCTTTTACTTCTTAGAGTGATTCTGCAGCCTATGCAGGTGGTGTTGTAAGCTTTTACCTTGGCTCCTCCAAACTATTTATAGTCAAGTTGCCATTATCTGAGATAATGAAGATGTCTGATATCCTACATAATGCAGTATTTCCTGTTAGATGTCAGCAGCTTGGATGTATTTGCAGTGCATTCCTTCACACACAGAGTTGTGAATGTGTGGTTGATAGAGTCACACTTGATGAAGCCTTCTGGAAATGGAAACAGACAACAGAAACACTTCTTCAATGGGCAGAAGTAATACTGAGCCATGGCTGAGCCTAGCGGAGCATCACAACCAAGGGAGAAGACCTGGAAAACATTTTGAGGAAGGGCAACCCATTCCCAAAGCACTGTCACCTGTATCTCTGTCACTGTCATAGGTTTTAAGGTTGTCTCCCTTGTTCCATAGATCATGAATTCACTTAGCTGCTTTTAGGATTAGAGTGCATTACTTAACAGTACACTAAAGGCCTTTCGTAGCAATTTATATTCATTACTTCTTAATCCAGACACAGCAAAATGACTGGTCCCATTTGGTGCCTGCTGATGGTTGTCTTCTTTTGACTTTCTGAATTGACCTTGGTGAAGTCTTCCAGAAGCACTGCTCTTGGAGACTCATTTATTTACAGACTGAGTAATTGTCTAAAGCCAGTGAAGAGCTTTGCACCTGCCTTGAAATTTCTTTTAATTCAAAAGTCTTTCCTTAGGTGTATTGCTGCTCCTGGGTTTAGCACTTGTGCTCTTTTCCCAGGGGAGTTAGAAATAAGGTAAATATCAGCAGAATGAATGCCATCACTATGTGGTGTAGCTTAATACTTCTGAATATTTTTGAAAATGCCAATTCAGATGGCACACATCACAATTTAGTTGGTAACAGCCAGATGTTCCTGTAAGGAATGATACTTTCTGAATGCTTATTCATTATATTTAGTCATTTGACTAAACTCAGGTGTAGTCACTCAGTTGAACATCATTGTGTTCTTGTTTCTCATAACACAGTCATGTTTTAAGAATGCATTACTACGTTTTGTTTGTTTATGAAATTGTTCTGCTTTTTGTTCTGAGAAATACACTGTTTACATAAACGTAACTTGCTCAAATGCCTTCTCTGGTACTCTGGTTTCAGTTCTCCTTGCAAACAGATATGACCAGAAGGCAGCTGGAGTATGAGGCCAGGCAAATCAGAGCTGCAATGGAAGAACAGCTGGGCACTTGTCAGGATATGGAGAAGCGAGCACAGGTAGAGTTATTCTCTTCCCATTAGAAGCAAGGGAAAAGGTTTTCCTGCATATTTATTAAATTATTGGTAATTGTATCTTTAAACTGTGTAAACACAGCACTTAGCCTTTCAAATAAAAAAAATAGGAATCAGGACATAGGAAATAATTGCTCAGCAAAGAGTACCCTCATCTGCCTCTTGTGAATAAACCTTTTTATTCAGCAAATGTAGACCATTCATTCAAGAGAAAATACTTTTTAATGATAATTTCCTTACAATTTACTACCATTTTAGCTTCAGAAAAGCCAGTGTATTTGCAACTGCTTTATTTTGCATCTTTTTGCTGGGTTTCTTCATGCTTGTCAGTTTAGAACAGTCTAGCTACTGTTCTTACATTTCTTTAGCCAGAAAAGATGTATCAGGGAATAATATTTTCAAACAAGGTTTTCAAGTAAAATGTAATTCACATACATATCTGGAATTTGTTTGCTTTCATCAAGAATTGTTTTGCATTCATGGCAAGGATATGTACATATCTAACCACATGGCACACCCATTTGGAAGTATAAATCAGAATGTAATCATGTGCAAATCATAAATAACCAGTTGGTTGCTGGTTATAAAATATAATCCCCCATAGTAGGAAAGCAACAATTTGAATTATTTCTTACCGTTTATTTCTAGACATATTAAATAACCAACTTAGTAAGATTTGGGGGGTTTATAGTGAAACTGACAATAATCAGTAATAATAAAGTGAAATCAGTAATAATAAACTGAAAGTAAAACTCAATAAAAATAAACTGAATTTTCAGTACAGTCTTTTTAGGCTCTGTCTCCCTAACTAGGTTGACTCAACACAAAATTTTGCTCTAGGAGAAACATTTCTAATTTGGTTTTACATTTAAATTAAAGCAGCTGTTCTGATTACAAGAGGTAATCAGAATAGCTGCTTTAAACTTTAAAGTGAGTAATCTAGTAGGACTTTTCAGAAAATTCCTATAATTACAGTGTTTAGCCAAAGAGATACCCTGCAGCTGTCAGGTTATGTGTGCAGGGGTTTGTCTGTGATGATGTTCTGACAGACCCAAGTTCAGTTGCTTGTAGAGTCCACTGGCTCTGACCTGGGAGCTGTAGGGCTGTTATCAAGGTTTATCAGCAGGGAGGTGACCTCCTTGGATTCAGCTGTGCAGTTTGTGTCAGCCTGCCCTGAGTGAAGATCCTGCACAGTAGAACACCTGGGAAAGTTTTGCTGCTGTAAACAGGCCTAAGTTAGAGGAAGATGAATTAAGCTAAATAGGCAGGCTAGGCTGCTGGCAGCATTCTATATGCACTCAGGCAGGGATCAAAAGAAATTATTCAGACACACAACTTGGCTGTAGTTATATCACTATATGGAAATAATCAAGCTGACCCTGAAGTTGTTTCTTCCCTAATTGTTGGTTTTAAATTTGGTGGGGGGAAAAACACTGACAAGATGATTTTAAAACACTTTGTGGGTTTCTGAATTAATGTTTGACATGGGGTTTGTCACAGCTGTTTCACTCTCTCTGTATCTGTGTAACACATATTTTCAAAAATTACACTGCCTATTGTGATTATATAAAGATTATTGAATACAAAGTAACTACTTCTGCAAGTGCTTCTTGTGAATTTAACTGGTAACTCCCCCTGGTTTCATTCTGCCAAGGACCAGTGCCAAAAACGTGTAGAAGTTCATTGATGTACAAATACATAAGAGAAATTTCTGCATTATTTCACTGTGATGTTAAAATATGCAAAATTAAACATTAGTATTTGGAAAGGATATTCAACTTAGTAGTTTTACCATTTTCTTTCTGCTCAGTATTTGCTTTCCACCCAAACTGATTGGGAGCAATACTATGCAAAAACGTAGGCTGAAGGGAGGGAACATTTCAGCTACATGAAGGCTGGCATTGCAGACGTCTCTGAATTAAGAGTGCCAGAGATTATTCTGTGAGAGAGCTGGTAACCTGCAGTTGCCCAAGTAGTCACTGCACTTTTCTGTAGCTACCCTTTCTCATAGGCCTTGAAACAATGGCTTTCTCTCAGTTTTTGTCTGGCATGATTTGGCTCCTTCTGAAGCAACTTAACTCATATCAACTGCCTGTTGATGTCTTCTATGAAGATTGTTCACAAGCGCAGCAGTGTTCAAAAAGATGGATAAGAAGCCTATTGCAAGCTGTTTCAGCTAGTTTATTGATTTGTACTAACTTGTAAACTTGTAACTATTCTCTGAAGCTAGTAATTTCACATAGTGCTTACTTGAAAAAAAAAAGGAGAAAAGCATTCTCAGCCATGTTTTATTTTTACTGTTCAAAGGTTATAGCCAATATATTTAGTAATAAGAAGAAGCAAACTTAATTTCTGTAAGAAATACTTCAATTCTAAGACTGAATTCATGTTCACATAGAATTTATTTTTTGTTCAAGTCAGAACAAAAAGGATCTAATTTTTTTGAGGTTAAAAGTTCTTTAAAATCTTGCATGAAATTACCATTCTTACAAGAATTTATCCCAAGATCTCTAAAAGTTTGCTAAAACAGCAGACCACTAAAGATACAAGAAAATTTAGATCCTGGAGTTTCACACAGACAAACATTTCAGCACTGTTATATTTATACAGTGGTCTTGTATGTACATCAAGCCATTAATGCATTTTTCTATCATATATGTTTATTTGGGGAAAAAAAACCCAACCAAACAAAAAAGGCAGACAACATTTTTAAAACAAAATGTTGTTCCCTATTTTTACTTTCTGTATAGTGATTGTTTTTCTGTTACTGTGATTGTGGAGGAATTTTATTTTTGTTTTGTTAGACACCTTATTGGGGCAGTGAAAGCCAAATAATATGTAACCTCAAATGTAAAGTTACTTTATACAGCTATTTTATGTTAATAAAAGTTGTTAGTAAATATAACAATAAATGGGAATGTAGTATGAACAAATAGAAATCAAAGGTGATATTTCTCAAGTAGATTTTAAATTTAAAAACATTGCTCTGGCTTGTTCCTTGTGTATCTCAGACTTTTGCCCATTTGCCATTAGGCTCTACCCCTTTGTGGCAAGAAATGCATTCATTTTTTTTCTGCTTCTACAATGTTTGGCACAAAATACACTCCTGGTTAGTGGAAATCCTAAGTTTCCCTGTAACAGTAAAAATTAATTAGAAGAATGATCTGATGTTTAAATCTCTGGGCGAAAATTGGAAAGGGCGGGTAGAATTCCTGCCCTTTTGGAGGATGCAGTAATACTTGGCAAATCATGCAGTATTTAATTGTTTTCATCTGCACAAATTTTTTTTCCTGTGTTTAGGTGCATATATAAATATACACAGATTTTCTTGATGCCCTTTATTGGATACATTGCTGGTTACACAGAAAGAAACTCAATTTATGGTAAATTTTGGAGACACTTGCATTTTTTGAGTGCTTAAAGGGGACCTGTAAGAAACCTTTTAGCAGGGAACAGTGATAGGAGAAGAGATAATGGCTTTAAATTCATGGAGAGTTGATTCAGATTAGGTACAAGATAGAAATGTTCTACGGTGGGAGTGATAAAACACTGGAAGAGGTTGCCAAGAGGCAGCAGGGGCCCCATTACTGGAAGCATTCAAGGTCAGACAGAGCTTTCAGTGACCTGATTTACTTGAAGATGTTCCTGCCCTTGGCTGGGTGTTTGGAATAGATGACCTTCCAAGGTCTCTTCCAACCCAGACTATTCTATAATTCTATAAAATTAAAGTCATTCTTAAGGACAATGAGAGGTGTACTTTGTCAGTTATGCATCATGTCACCAGTGCATAGATATTCCCAGAAATATTTTTTATCTTTCTAGTACTAAAAAATTTCTTGAACCAGGAGCAAAGGGTGGAATAAATTATATGTTTGCCTCTGTGCTGAAGCTTTTATGTGTTTTCCAATAATTTTCTTTACAAAATCAAGCCAAATTTATAACTTAAAGTTTTAGCTTTCCGCCTCTACTAAATGTTGATGCTTATGGTGCTTTTCCCATAGTTGCTTCTGATGTGTGTTTCAGTCATTCATATTTTGTCATTACGTTTTCTTTTGTATTTCTAAATTTTCTAGACAGCATTGTGTTTTTTTGCATGTGCATCTTTTGGCATTAGCACCTTTTGCAAGTTCATCCTCTTTCCATTTTCAGATTATGAATGTGTCAGATAAGATTGGGTATAATGCTGATCTTTGCAGTGTCCACTAGATTGTTTTTCTAGTATAGTGCTTTCTTCAACAATATGTCCATTTTATTAATCTATCCAAGGCACAAAAAAATACTGTTCAATCAGGTCTTCTGCCCACATTTAAAGTCAAATAATGTGAATTTATTAAATTATCAAGCTCATGCACTTACTGTTTCACAGACTGATGATGCATCCTGTGCTTCACTGTACAGTTTGTGTGGAGTGCATGTATCCTGTTACGTTTGGAGTCTTTACATTCCCTTTGCTAACCACTGAATGGTTGTAGTGAGAAAGGGGTAGCAATATGCCTGTAAAAAACCGATTCAGAGGTGTCTGTAAAACCCAGATAAACCAGAGAAGCAGTATGTAGTTCTTTGGTTTTTTATACTTAGCCTGTTAAATTCTTTGGGATTTGTAGAAGTCGTAAATATCAGAGAGAGGGCATAAGCAAAATTCCCAAATGAGTATAACAACTGGATATAATAGAAATCTGTCAGGGTCTCATGCCTTCAAAGACACTCTGCAAATAAAAATATCTTTCAGATCTCTGTAAGGCAAATAAAATTCTGATATTTGAGATAAAAGTGGAATAGTTTGTTAAAGATATGCATAAAATGTCAGTTTCAGAAACAGGAATATTGTGCATGTTAAGTGTAACATTTTTTTAATACCTAAATGTGTTCTGTATGATGACCTATTACATCCAGTTGAGTATTCAATGTTATTAAAACCCCAAATACTCAGTTTTGAATGCTTGCAATCATTCATTTCATTATGAAGAGTACTTCAATTAATGCATGTAGTACCTCTGCATGTACCTACTGAAGTAGGTTTGTTTTGTACAGTCAGCAGTATTTGCCAAGAACTTTTCATACTGTCAGTCTGTACAGTAAGTAAAAGGAGTTTTTGAACAAAATCAAACGTGAAAATCCATTCATTTCAGGCAAGGGTGGCCAGAATTCAACAAATAGAGAAGGACATTCTTCGTATACGACAGCTCCTTCAATCACAAGCAGCTGAAGCAGAGGTTAGTGAGCAATAACTTGCCTTTTTGTATTATGGTATGTATATTTTCTCTAAAGAACCCAAAATATTTGAATAAAGTGGAAGGCAGGATTATTCCCATCGGCTGTTGATGTCACAATTAATCAGGTAGTCAATCTCCTTAGACTATTACTTGCCCTGTTTCTAATGAACTAAGGATGGAATACTTGGATTAGTCCTCATACTGCTGTGGAGCTTCAATCAATAATCATATAATTCAAAAGTTTAGCTTGAAATTTCAGTAAAAATGTCAATGTGCAATCTCCTTATAAAAGCTGAGTACTGGTTTTAAAAATGATTAAACCAATCAGTTGTACATGGCTTTCTAATTGTGAATCTCTGATAAGCACCTTCATGGTTTGCTTGTCTTTTGAAAGAGATAAGATGTAAAAAAAAGGATGAATAGAGCTTCTTCAGACTTCGTTATAGATGCTTGGTATATTTTTAGTGTTTAAGTACAGGGTTCTATATTAAGACATGCAGGTTGTTTCCTGCAAATTACAAAGTCCATAGCAGTAATTGCCATTAGCAGAAACTGCTCTTGTGGAAATTCACTTAGAATGTCAACTCCATTTCTTGTACTGGTAAATTAAAGACTGTGTTTGACATGAATATTTTATGACTTGTTTTCACCAAAAATAACTACAGAAAAAGCTCAGAGCATCATTTAGATCACTAAAGGATGTATATTTTTCCATTTTGTAAAGTACTGGTTTCATAGTTCCAGGATTTGGGGGGAAATCAATTCTTGTAAGTGATGCAGACCGTGGTGCATGAAATTAAAGTTGCCTGGTCTATTGACATGAGTCAGTCCAGGTGTGTATAGATATTGATGAGATCTCTCTAAGGCTTCTCCTTCTCCAGCTGAACAGTCTCAGTTCTCTCAGCCTCTCTTTGTGTGAGAAATGCTCGACCCTAAAGGACTGCTGTAAACTGCCCAGGTTTTGTTTCAGTGAATCCATTGTAAATCCAGCTTTATTGTGCTGGGGAGGCCTGAACAAGACTTTGGATGCTGAGTGGAGAGGAAGGGCCATCTCCCTGGCAATGCTGGGAATATCCCCTCACTGCAGCACAGGACACTTGGACTTTTTGCCACTATGCCTTTGAAAGGATGGCCCACCAGAATCTCCAGGTGCTTCCCAGCTGGACTGCTCCAGCCTGTGCTGGTGCCAGGGGTTGTTCCCTCACAGGTGCAGGACTTTACACTCCCTTTCTTAAACAGTTTGAGCTTCCCTTCAGCCCATTCCTCCCCTACCATCCAGGTCCTTCTGGGAGTCAGCTGAACCCCTGTGCTGTATCAGCTTCTCCAACCTGAGGAGGGTGCACTGTGTTCCAGCATGCAGCTGTTGGACAATATAATATTGTCTCAGTATTAACTCTGGCTTGCCTCCAGCTGTACTTCGTGCTACTGATTGCAATCTCCTGATTCCCAGCTATTTCAGCAGTTTTCAGTCCACATCCCTGTTCCCCCACCTCCTGCTTGCTCCCCAAGCAGTTGTGCAGGGATGTGCTGAAGAGCAGTGCCTGGCTGTGCCCATATTACCCAGCACAGGCTTGGAGCTTTCCCAGCAAGGCAGCTTTGCTTCACCTTGTTCTTCCTTGAATGCCTGTGCCCAAGGACATTCCTCTTACCTCAGCTGTGTGCATTGCCTTTGTGTTCCTACCAGCCAGGGGTCCTGCCTTGCCAGCCCTACCCTCTGTCCCCTGTCATTTCTGGTGTAGAGCTCTCCCTGCTGGGTTGATGAGGCTCTCAACAGGTACTTTTGCCCCTTATAGTCAGATAGATCCTGTCCCCAGAGTGTTTATCTTTTACTCTGGTAAAAACAAAACAAAACCAAAACAGTATTTTGAACTTACTTGAACTCGTGGATTCAGCATTGAGATGAAACTACAGAAAAAAGGTTTTGTCTTAGTTTTTCACTCCATCCCCCAAATTATTTGGCTGCCTCATACACTGAAGGTCTGATATATTCAAATTTTTGTGTGATGTGTCTTATCTGGAAAATGTTTGGGTATCTGGTTTCATAGTTAAATGTTTTAGGACAGAGTTACCAAGGTGCCATTGGTGGTAAAGAAGGCAGTCACTACAAACACCCTAATACTTTATAGTGTGTTTTAATCATTTCCAAGTGATGACCATCTCCTACAGAGAGCAGCTGGGTCTGATTCTGAAATTGTCTGGTGGTGCAGACGCACTGCAAAGTCCATATAACTGAAAAAAACAAACATGAGACTTTTTTTAGATTTTTATCCTGTGCCTGATACTGTTACTGAAGAACTGTGTTTCTTTTAAGAAGTCTATGCAGCAGTGAGAAAATGCTTGAAAACACTTTTAACCATAGCACAATAGTGTTTGATCCCTATATTTGTGGTTAATGCTTAGTTTTGTACCATACACTGCTTAGTACGAGCCCCAGAGATTAGCACAGCATTGTGTTAACTCCCTACATCTGTGACTAAGTTGTGTTCCAACTTCCTTATTTACTTATATCAGTAGTTAATATGTACTAGCTGATATCTTAATTTTGAGAACAAAGATTGTGTGTGACAGCAAAGAATGATAGAAGTAAGTACATTATGGCCTGATCACATATTTGAGATATTCTCAAGGAGAAGAGATTCATCAGAAGATCTGAACCATATCAAGATAAGTCCACGGAAATAATTAACACATATGCATATATTCAGGAAATGCGATGAATATGTATTTGTTTCAGGATTATAGCCTGGTGTGTTAGTCTGTTACTGAGCATGCTTTGAGGAGAATTCCCCATGCATTCAGCACTGGTGATAAAGAAATGTTGGCTTTCTAAGCTGGTAATTTGGTTGTAGAGTTTATTTTCTGGTTTTCTGTGCCAATAACCAAATTGAATGTGCTCCTTATGCTATAAACATCTGGTAACAGCAGCAATAAATATCACAGCTTGTCTGCTGATACAGGAGGCCCTGTGGTGATGCCAGTCACTGTGGAATCCAAGTGCAATATATCTTGAAGAGTAAGACCAAATATAACACTGCAACATAAAATCAGCTTTTGGAAATCAATGAGCAGAGAAAATTCCCATACACATTTTATTACATTTTTAAGGTTTGGCAAATTGCTAGGTCTTGTGAGTTATTCTAGAAAAAATTGAAGTAGTTTACCTTCAAGTGGTGGTATCTTCATCTACTGTAGGGTTTGACCTGTCCAAAAAGAATTTTCAGCTCTTGGGTACAATATGAAATTATTTAAAAGGAAAAATGAAATTTTTGGCAGTAGTGGTAGAGGCCATTCTTCCACAATATCTGTAACTTGAAATATGTGAAATATTTCCATTAGGCAGAATTTCTATATGTAAAATGTAAAGGATTTTTTTTCTTCCTGAGATTATGCTCAGCAGGTTTTAATGGATGGACAGGAACATTCTCAAGGATTTGACTCATGAGACTTTCTTTGTCTTCAAATCAACTGTATCAAAATTATTTATTACAGTTTCTTGGGTTTTTTGTTGCATTTTCCATTTTCTGATATATGTGTTACCTATACATTGATGTACATTGCATTTAATATGGAATGATGGCAATTCCTAATGAAATCAGTGTCTGCTTTGGTAACTTGCATTGACAAAATATTGGGTAAATTATTTGTAATTGGCTTTCTTAGCAGAAATACTCAAGGTCTCCTATGCTAGTTAGAGTTTATAATTTTCTACTAATAAATACATGGAAACTAATAATTGGTAATGATAGTGCTTGCTGACTTCAGAAACACTTAGAAAACTGGCAAATGTGATGGAAGGAGCAGCTCCATATCTCTGTAATCAGCACACCGAGTCTCCCACAATTTTGCTGCAACAGCAAACAAGTGAACTCTTGTCAAACTGATTTTCATGATCTGATGCCAAAATTCAGCAGTGACAGGTTACAAACCCAGCTTAGGCCTCCTCAAAAGTCATGCCTCAAAACAGGTGGTGCAGTTTAACCCTGGGGACCTGAGTGCCATTCTTTGGCAGCTGTGCCTCACATAGGGCTTACAGAGCCTGCTGCTGTTCACATGCTCTGATTCTTTGCTGATGTGGTTGGTGTCTTCTGTATTGTCTTCTACAGGGCCCGTGTTTGGTGTTGGTGTTCATGTCCCATGAAGAGGGGACATACTTCCAGTGGTTATATTGCCTTTCTAACCATTAATCTGTAGTCTAACAGATAAATATTAATTTATTTACAGTAATACCATAACTATTCAAAAATATATTTACATTATCCATGTGAATGGATATGTGCTATTTTCATACATAATAAAAAAATGTTTAATCATGTATGTATATAATAGATATTTTTATAAATACTCAGTGTTCAACTAATAACCTGCTTTCTGCTGCCTGTGTTGTTATTAACTCCTTTGTGTCAGTCTGCATGAAGAGGACAGCTCACTTCAAATGACTTCAGTGGCTGAAGTGGTAGGGAGTCTTCACTGAGAACTCGCAGATTGGATGTTCAAGTCCAGCTGATAACTCATGTGACAGTAATGGGTTTGCATGTTGCAAGCACGTTCTGCATTTCAAATTAGATAAGCCCTGCTAGTAACTGCTAAAAACTGCCTTGCAAATTAATTGGTGTGTTGAGGTGACTGGTTTTCGTATTTGCATATTCTTGAGAGTGCTTAGGGGAAATGGGAAAGCATCTCATTCATAAATAGCATATAGCAAACAAATGCATGTGAATAGTAGTAGAGAGTGTTAAAGGAGAGCAAAAACTTTTCTTGTCAGGGAATGAAATATCTGTGTGTGTCTGTGCTCTGAATGCAGCAGAGCTATTTAATAAATACACCCCATTTTCATCACCCTGCCCCAACCCCAGGAGGAGGGGATTCTTGGAAGAGGAGTATTGTTCCCTCTCAGGTGACCCAGTGAGTCAGAGACCTGCTGAAGAGCCATTCAGATTCTCACCTCTAGTCATGTTCAGTATTGCTTCCTTTGTGGGATTCAAAAAGTCATTTAGTGACTGGAAAATTCTGCCTTGAATTACACTGGAGACTTAGATGTCGACTTTGTGAAACTCATAGTTATACTTTATTCAAGATTGAATGTGTTGTGAGACAGGAATTCAGCATTATAGTGAATTCACCTTTATGTACATCAAGGTCTGACCTTGACTGAGTGCCTCATTCTTGCACTGGGAACCAAAGTTTCTTCAGTTACTGTATAAACATAAATAGTAGTTTCATTTCATACACAGTGACAGAGAGGGTGAAAAATTAGAGATCAGATTTAAAAAGTAGTAACACTGTGTGTCCTAGAATACTTTGAGATTTGCTTCGTGGCTTACTCATTTTCTATAAGTGAAGATATAATGTCAAGGAATTTGTTACCTATAGTTGTTTCCAGTTTTCTTATATTCTGTTTTAGATTTTTCTTGATTTTACATATTGCTATTACTAATTTGTGTAATATTTTGACATACCTTTTTCCTTTAGTTAAATTATATTTACAGTTTTAAGTTTACCCCTAAGTTACCATTTCCTGTGCTCATTACTGGTTTCTGAAATTCTGCTCAATGTTAAGTGAGACTCTTCTGTCTTAGATGAACAAAACAGAGTTGTTTATTCCAGTGATACTGTATTAATTTAATCACTGAGAGTATTCAGAGATGTTTCAGGGTCTGTACATTGAAGAGAGGTATTGCTAAAAGTCAGAGATAAATATCATTAAAGCAAGTTGAGGCAGATTTTGCTATGCTGGCTCTGCAGCTTACGTACATTGCAGAGCCACATAGAAACTGCATGACATACACCATATGTGGCTAAACAGAGTAATTAAGATTGTGTTGTCTGTTAGGTAGTAGCCTCTCAGTCTGTGAAATGAAGCTTGGTAGCAAAAATAATACTTAGAAAATAATCTCACTTTCAGCTCCAGACTTCAGCCATTTCCATGGATTATTCATGTCTTTCTGAAAATCTGAAATGTTTTAAACACATTAATAGATGACGTTTGATACTTCACATATTTCATAACTGCTCATTTAAATGCCTGTCAGTGGCAGGGAGACTAATTCAATTTTTATACAGATGTATAAAAATCCATTTTCCTAAAGGAACTGAAACCTGCCCGTATCAGCTTGTCACATCAGTTAAATTTATTTTGACAAAATTTTAGATAGATCAGTATCAGGCTGTATAAATTTCTTTTCTGTCAAAAAATTCCTGCACTGTTTGTCCTTGACATTTAGAAGGATTCTTGTAGTACAGACAGATATCCTTCTGTTCAAGTAGAAATTATTCATCTTTGAACGTGAATCTCAATTGAACAGTGCTGACCATGGTCCCCAGTAAAAAAAGCAGAGATCACATGGCCAAGCAGAGCAGACAGTTGTTTGCTCCAATTTTGTTACATTTCTGATAGGGATGTGAGCACAGCTGGTGGAAAATGATGCTGCTGTGTGTCACAGTGGATCCTTTGTCTTGCAGGGCTGTAATCCTCAGAGGAAATGCTTCTCTTTCATCTCGCAGTTTTTTGAAGGCGCTCAGTCTCGGCTGTTAATTTTTGAGGCTCAGGGTTATGAAATGCAAAGTGCTGCTCAGTGGCTTCCTGAGGATGCAGTATTGATGCACTCACAGCCAAGAAAGCTTTGAATGGTAAAATGTACCTCATTTCTGTTTGTAATTTCATAAACTCTTGTATTAACAGAGAGCACCTCAAAGCAAGCATGAGGCAGGTTCCCATGATACAGAGAGGCAGAATGAAGGTCAAGTAGCAGCAGAAATCAGCGTGGCAACCAGTGGTACTGGTCAGGTAAATCGAGTATTTTGATTGTTTTAATATAATTAAATATTTAAAGCATATGAAACCTACATGTTGGTTACTGTGTTTGCATGCCTACTTGTTAAAAAAAATTAATTATTTTCTTCTTTCCATCTATATCTGGGAAATTTCTTGTATTTACTGGAAGGAAGTGTTTTAATAAAGGGAAGTATAAATATTCAATAATGCAGGGAGCATTTTTCTTTTGTTTAAATGATTAATGAGCCTAATGGTGTGAAAGAGACAGCAAGATTGACTACTGAAAATGTATTTCATTGTAGGTGAATTGTAATATAAGAAGTGTTAGCAAACTATGAGTTCAAATTTTTGTTTTAGAAACTGCCACTAAGATATTGGTGATTTTTAAAAAAAAGAAGTAAATGACAGGTTTATTATTAATATTTCTTTAATACTGTATTATCTAAAGCTTTGAAACTGAATGCATCAATGAAGTAATCTGAAAGTTGGCTGAGAGGTTATTTAAATGCTTCTAAATAACGCTTCATTGCTGTTCCTCCTTTTGTTACTGAAATACAGCAGTGGAATATTTTGAGGTATACATTAAATTCTTTACTTGCCTTTTAAAACCAATATTTATCGACATTTATTACTTCTCTCTTTGGCTAAAAATACTTTTATTTATTTACCATGATTATTTCCTTCATGATTTCCAACTGTAGCTTAGACATTCCCACTAGTAATTTGGGTTTTTAAAACTTCACACTACAGATTTAACAGCTGAATTCATATACAGGATATTTTTGTTACTCCAGGGAAGTAGAATTATTAAAATATTTCCAAAAGTGTCTTGTAGATGTATCAGAAAGAATTGTGGTTTGGCTGGAATATTTCACTTGATTAAACATTAAGCACAACCCATAATTTTGCTTTTGAAGTACATTTGATCACCATTTGGAATTAAATTCTATTGTCCATATCTTATTGAGGTTCTGACTCTTTAATTCTTATGACAGCTTTATTGTTTGGGAAGAAAATAGCTCACTGCTGCTTTGGGGCTGAAAGCATAATGTATTTAAATAATTGATGCATTGTTGCTTTATCATCCATCTTCAGAGAATGAATTAGGAGTTTTTCATGGACAATATATTTTGCAGAGAAGGAAGGGAGGAAGGAAGAAGGGATTGTCATGTCTTGGCAGACTTATACAAATGGAAGATCCATTCATAATTCAGTTGACGCCTTAACATTGAGGATTTGTGCAGTTTTGACCTTCGCCTTGTAAAAATGTATGAAACATGGATATTCCTTCCTCCTGATGGGGGATAGAGCCAGGGCACTGTATCTGTGTTAAAACAGCCATCTGGGGATTATTTGCTTTCAGTTCAAGTCCAGACAGAGGAGGTTTAATGGATTGGACATAACATTTATTTCTGATAAACCAGCTCAGTATACTTAGAGCAATCACCATTCAGTGGAGTGGGAAAAAAAAAGTTTTCACTAAATTATTTGGTTCTAATTGGTTTTGTAGTCAGCGTTAATTGAATCCAAGATCTTTCACTATTCAAGTGTGTCCTTTTCAGTACCATCTTTCAACTGTCTTTTCTTTTCCATTGCACTCACTATTCTCCCACTGAAGTAAAATTTTGTTCATAGCCTCATTTTGCAAGTTCTATAAAGGAACTTGTTGAAATTATCCATCTTGTTAAGAAAATATGTCACAAAACAGGGAAAATTACTCAGCTGGCATGGTAAATAGCAGGGTAAAACAAGGAGTGAAGGACAGTGAAGTATAAAAGGTGGAAAAGAGATGAAGTAGACAGAAAAATATTTTGAAGGAGGAAGTCCCACACAGGAAGGGTACACGTAACCTTTCCTTCTCATTTCCCTTTGTTTTTGATGAATGTCTGCTCACCTGACATCAGTTTCTTGGCATTAGTCTTTACAAGCCAGTGAGAAATGTAGTTACACTTCAGCTGAACATCCTGGCTCAGGTAGCAGAGCCACATGATGACTCTGAAGGAATTGGTTACCTGAACTGAAGTTAACACAGTTAGGGGGAAACTACCGTAAAATTTTGCTATTTCCATCTACACCATGGTAAACTTTTAATAAATACTGCCCTAGACTTATGTCATTTTTACCTTCTTGGATGAAACAATCACACTGAGCATAATAATTGATCATTTTGATATGTACATTATGTTGGACCTGTAATCCTTCGAATGTAGTTTGAGGAAATATGAAGGGATTGCAAGGTGTAAAAATTTGGGAATTCATTCCCATATTCCTAGCACTGAACATTATTTTTCTAAATAATGGAGAAAATATAGTGTGATTTTCTTCCTAAGCTTTTAAATCTTGATTTTTTCCCTGTAGTCAACAGAGAAAATAAGGGTTTGTTTATAAAGGAAATATAGATTGGAATAAATGTTGCTAATATAAATGATTTCAATTACACTCCTGTAGCATAAAATACTTCTTCTGGAACATGTATCACATTTTCTGGATTCAAATGCAAGAGTGAAATGAGTATTATAATGTTAATGTGTTTAAATATTCCAGTATAACTAGATTCTATTCTGTCTGTACAAACACTTCATTAAGTTACACCTACCTTATATTTTCTTTCAACTTCACATTTAAGATGCTGAACTGCACGAACTGCAAAATTCCTCTTTCTTTATGGAAAACATAGAAGAAACAGACATTATTTCAAAGTGTCTTCCATGGAGTTTTCTTCAGTATGCTACCTATTTTTACTGGAAAAAAATTGTATTCATTGATCCAGATAGTTTGAAAACATTTTGCAAATTAGGCTAATATTCCATTAACAGATTTTAGCTTTTTTGAGGATCAAAGAAAAACTGGTGACTACCTCAGGAAAACAGCTATTGATACTAAAACTGTTCTCTAAACAAATAAATATTTTTAATGTCCCAAAGCAAATGGGAAGGGAGAGACATAGCAAGGGAAATTTCACAGATAGAAAGAAAACAACACCAAATAAAAAAAAGTAAAGAATATGAATGGATAAAAAGTGGCAGAAAAATGAAAAATGTAAATACATTAAATTAATTAAAAGAAGACAGATGCTAGTAATTGAGTCTTGCTAATACAAGTAGGAGCACACCTAGATTCTAGGAAAATTATGTCAAGTTGTGTCTGCATTGTTTTATAGTTTTCACTAAAAAACTAAACTAAAAAAACTATACAACCACTTATAATTTGCTTTTGAAATGGACAAATTCAAGTAGAGTTATTCATTGCCCAGATCAGTCTCTCTTACTGGTGGGTTCTATGCCTATTCAAATGCATTACGGAATCTGACATAAACGCTGAGGTTGTTTTTTTCACTCTGTCAAAATTATTGTTCAGTTTGTTCCAAAATCCAGTTCTTTTTGGTGCAAATAGTAACTATAAATCCATTCAGTTGAAAATATGGTTCTAATGAGACTGAATCTTGGGAGAAGGGGTTACTGAAACCAGGTTTAACAGTGACCTCTATGTTGTGTCAAGGCAGAGAGGAGCTAGCAGAAACAGGTTGGCAGTTCATTGCTGTCAGCAAAACTGCATCATCCAGTGCTGAAATTCAATTAGCCAATGTTGTTCTTTCCCTCAGACTTTGTTTTATATGAGTTGTTGCTTAAATCTGTAGGGTTCTGCTGCTCGAGTGGACCATGAGACAGCCAGTGTTATGAGCTCTAGTAGTAACTATTCTGTTCCTCGAAGACTGACAAGTCATCTGGGTACCAAGGTAACCGAAGATTACAAACCACAGGTCGCTAATGCTACATTTTTACTAATACAATAACCTCATTGTTTCTGCCAATAGTACTAATATTATCTGAACAGTCTTGTCCATACATAGTAATTTTTATTAAGTTAAAATTTTAGAATATTTTTTCAACCTTGAAAATATATGCACAGAAATAGGTTTGGTTTTTTTTAACTTGTTAATGATGATGTTACAACAAGGAACAAGCAATTCCTAGAAGTTACTGGAATATCTAAAGACCTTGTGATGTTGTTTTATAATCAATGATGAAAATTAACCTTTTTAAGAGCATTTCTTCAAATACTTTTGCAGAATCTAAATCCACAAAACAGACACAGTTGCCAAGAAATTAAATAGACAAAAAAAAAATTATGTAAGCCTTTCACAGCATCTTTAGATAGAAGACTGCCCTCAAAAATACATATGCAGCATAAGGAGAGAGGGGAAGAAAAAGGCAAATTCATGAGCCACTGGATCTCATACTGCCTCTGGAATCAGCAGCAGTATGAATACTGTGGGTGCTGTGCTGAGCACAGTCCTCTGGGAAACTGGATCTATTGATTTTGCATAGTGTTAATGATTTTGAGCTTCAAAACAGTGTTACAATGTTGTCATTTCAGTCCCACGCTGTATGCACATCCTAAATATAGGTGACATCAGCTGTCTGTCTGCCAATTGTCACTGCAAACTGTAGAACTCTGTAAAGTTACAAACAGCGGGAAAAGTGCCTGAGGGCAGTGAGTGTGGAAGGATGCAGGAGAAGACACAGATTGAACTGAGTATGCTCTGGGGTAGGAAATTATTAATATTAATGGCCAAAAAGGGAAAATGGTAGAGATTCTAAATGGAGGAGTGCATTTACTGGCACAGTGAGTCTGTGGACAGTGTGTTTAAACAAGAGAAACAAATAGATTTTTTTTGTTTATTTTTCCTATAGTACATGAGCTGCAATTTGGAGGCCTGATTTCATGGTTTCTTCAGCTTTATTCTCTGACAAAAACTTTACTTTCTAAATCAAACTAACACTGGACACTAACATTAATTAGCTGCCAGTTGAAACTTCTGCAAAGAGGTACACATAAAGCCAACTAAATTCACTCTCCTTTTAGAATCAAAGAGTTTGTTTAAATGCTACATTTGGAGTTTTCCAGACCAGGAAGACAGGATCTCCAAACTGGGATTCTAGACTGTCGTAGAAGTGGCTTCTGTTTCAATGGGTTTTGCCATGTGACCTTATAGTTCCACAGACTCTTAAGATTTGTATTGCCTCAGCAATCCTGTAGTGTTTAGAGAAGTCTCTGTTACCAGACTCACTATTTAGTCTGCCTGCTGCTGTTCACTTTTTTTAAAATTCAGTATGTATATTAATCTTCAGGCACAATGGAATTGTCACTGAAGATACCAAATAAAATCATTCATTGATACGGTAACCAGTGTAAATATCTAATTATTAGTAGGAAAATTTGTCTAATGGTCCAAAGTTATTTTTTCCTTAATTACTATAGTCTAGAGAAAAACACGCTTCTACTTCATAATTCCCTTTGATAGTTTCTTTATGTTGTGCTTTGACTTTGAATGTTCCTGTTTATCTTGGCTTTAGGAGTTTGGAGTTTTTAGATAGTATCTAAGATCATCTTCTACATCCTGTTATTCTGCTAAAAGTTGACTGGAAGAATCAAATGCATTTCTAGATTGAAAGCTGTTACTGGAGTGGGAGTACAAACCAAATAGTGTCTTGACCACAATATTATATAAAAACCAAAGAAATCACTTAAAAATTGCTGTATTTTATTTTAAAAAATTGGGTCACTCAAAGTTAAATGGGTAATGTTGGGGTTTTCATGGTGTGAGTTAATTTTACGAACATTTAATATTTAATACATACTAAATAAGCATGTTTGCTTTACTGTTCTTATCCCTGTAAACTTGAAAAAGTATTAATTTAACTCCTTAGTTTTGCATTTGCTCTAAATAATTTGGTCCATATAAAAGTCAGACATCATAACAAAAAATTATCAGTTAATTTGAGGTATTTTAAAGGAAAAGTTTAAAATACATGGATATCAGGTTTTTTCAGCTTGATGTAGACTATAAAGAAAGCATCATCAATTCACATGGACCATAGCTTTTTAAAGACAGACTTAATTTTGAAGGTATTTTGGTTTCCCAAAATGAAACACTTTCATTATATGTTTGTTTAATCTTTTTGTACAATGGAAATCTGGAAGTCTTTGTTACTGGTTTTGTATAGTAATAGAGTTACAGACACTTCCAGCCATTTAACCACTAAGTGGAATTTATTAAGATTATGAATGCTGAAGTAGTAATAGTATTTAATTACTTTTAAATAGCACAGGTTTATTTTACCATAAGAGTGGTTTTTGCTCATATGTACAATTCTAATTTTGTTTCAATTTGATGTGTGTTTTTAAAACGTAACTGTATTTTTAAAATCATTTGACCTGCAGGTGGAAATGGTGTATTCATTGTTATCAATGCTTGGTACTCATGATAAAGATGACATGTCAAGAACATTGCTAGCAATGTCTAGCTCCCAGGACAGCTGCATAGCCATGCGTCAGTCTGGATGTCTTCCTCTCCTCATCCAGCTTTTACATGGCAACGATAAGGACTCTGTGTTGTTAGGAAACTCCCGTGGTAGTAAAGAGGCCCGTGCCAGAGCCAGCGCAGCGCTGCACAACATCATTCACTCCCAGCCCGATGATAAGCGAGGCAGACGGGAAATCCGTGTGCTCCATCTCTTGGAGCAGATCCGTGCTTACTGTGAAACGTGTTGGGAATGGCAGGAGGCACATGAACAAGGCATGGACCAAGACAAAAACCCAAGTAGGTTCTGCAAGCCATATAAACACATTTTGAGGATATATTGAAAAGAGTAAATTTACAGAAAGTACAACCTTAATCTGACTTCTTGTTGAATGTATGCAAGTTTTCTTATTACACATATGTGTGTGGTTTCTTCTTTATTAAAGTTCAGTTACTGTTTGTATCACAGATATGGTACCCTACTTACAAGCTTCTTATTTAAACCTTAGACTTTGGTGTGCTTTCCAGATAGCAGTTCTAGTGGTTTATATTTGCAATTTGTAAAATAATATTGAATATGTACTCATTCAGTTTTTACATTTTTATGGATAAACAATCCCAAATTGCTTTTCATGTAGATGTTTAGGAGATAGCACATTTTGGGAGAAGGGCAGAGAGCACAAATTTAAAAACCTCCATCCATCAGAATGGATGTTGTATGTGAGAAATGTAAATTAATAGGATTTTTCTCAGGGAACAGTTAGAAAAATAGGTAACTTTAGAGTTACCTTAGTTGTTTCTCTGAATTGAGGGCATCCCATGAGTGCAGCCTGTAGGTATCCGTGGCAGGTGTGTGACTGAAATCAGGGCTGCCTTGTGCCTGGGGCAGTTCAGCAGGAGTGGGCTCTACACAAGCTGTAAAGTACCATTTCTGCATTATCCAGAACCTAGCTCACAAAAGTATGAACTTAAGAATTTGTAGGTTATGAAGCAAAGGTCTAATTAACCATTCATAAGGATATAGTGCCCAAAGAAACAGAATATTATTTAGTGCCACCAGAATATTTGATCATATTGATTTGTTTCACAAAGATTATTAATTTCTAAGAGTAATAAGGTAATAGTTTTGCACTGCAGGCTGTGTTTCTAACTCAGCACATAGATTCAGGATTCTCCCTAATTTGTTTTAAAGCATCAAATATATTTAAAGTACACACTTTCTTTAGTAATAATCTTAACTAATTGTCTGTTCATGGATTGCTGGGAAGATACAAACCTGACCAAAACTGCAGCTGCTTTGTTTTTGACATGAGATTTGCTCTGGAAAACTAATGATCTAGACAGAATCACCTAGGAGGTACTAATTGTTACCTGTTTCTGGATCAGTGCCTGCTCCAGTGGATCATCAGATTTGCCCTGCAGTGTGTGTTTTGATGAAACTTTCATTTGATGAAGAACACAGACATGCAATGAATGAACTTGGTAAGAACAGACGTCAGAAGCTTGCTAGAAACCATGGCACTCCTTGTGCATGTCACTGCATATATGGCTTTTTTTTACTAACAGTTTAAGCTATTAACAACAATTCATTTGTGTCAGTTGTTGCCCCCTAAGTGCTGAAAACAGTTGAAATTAACCACACCATTTCCCAGTGGATAAATTATTATGTCAGTTACTGTTTTCTCTGTCATGAATTGTGAATTTTGGAAGAGTAGTATTATTGTGGGAATATTTGCAATTTTACAGGTATTGGACTTAAAATGGAGAGTATTTCCTGGGATGGGTGGTTTTCTGGTTGGTGTTTTAGTGGGTTTTTTTCATCCTGCATTTGTTCTTGTCTGACAGCCTGAATTTTTTTAGTCCATGTTCAGTAAATTTCATGCATGCAATTTTAGCAATTCATATGTTTTTCTGAGCATTGTGGGTTTCAGATATATGAGGTTTGCGCTGTACATAAAGATGGAGTTTTTTCCTTCCTATATATGTCTTGCACTTAAAATACTGGAGTACAGATTTTTTTTTTGATTTTTTTTTTTTCTTACCTGAATCTCTTTGAAGGTGGTTTGCAGGCCATTGCTGAACTGTTGCAAGTGGATTGTGAAATGTATGGACTCACAAATGATCACTATAGTGTTACCCTAAGGAGGTATGCTGGCATGGCTCTGACAAACCTGACTTTTGGAGATGTAGCAAACAAGGTGAGAGAAGAACTGTAAACTTGCAGTAATTTCAGTTCATAGGTGTTTGAATTACAGCTCTCAATGCAGGTGATTAAAATCTCCAGGATAGGATATTGACCTCAAACTCAAGGCAGGAGTTCAAAATATCTCTCTCATTCCATCTTGTTGCTGATGGAGAGCACTACAACCAGAATGTTGCATGCATACAAGTATGGTATTGGCTCTCAAATCACTTTTGTCACTGAAAGCAAGGATTTTCTCTATTGGCCTGATTTTTCAGTGAGAACTAGGTTCGTATGGTACACAGTGATTTTATAGCAACTGATTCTTTCTGAGAATGTTGAAGTAAAATTCATAATTGGGTCAAGTTTTCTGAAGTTTTCAGTTATTTAACAATACTGCTAGTGTCTAATGAAATTTTTTTCAAACCTCTTCAGGCTAGAGCTTGCTTTTAAATATCTGGATCATATCTGGATCAAACTGGGCACTAGTTCAATCATTATAAGAGAAAATTGTTTTCCCTAAGTTCTGACAAGGACATTTCTTTCAGTAGCTAGAAACTTCCAATAGATTATTGCCCCAAAGTTTGCCAGCCTGTTTATCTTAAAATAACTCCATACTGAAGACTTACCTTTCTGCCCTAAATGGAAGACATTTCAGCAGTAAATGAAAATTATAGATTTCAGAGAACTCAGGATTTTTTCTCTCACTAGGCAGTAGGTAACAATACATTGCTGGCTCACAGGGGTTTTTATCTGGTGCAAAGGAAAGAAGCCTTCTAAGGTAGTAAATGTTCAGATCATGTCCTAGAGCTGCTGTAAAAAATACAAAATTTTAGCACAATTTTAGCACTTATGTATTGAAATTGTAGCTATGCTGCAATTTTTAATAGTTGTAAACCAAGTATTGTTGACAACATACTTAGTAAGTTTCCATTAAACTTATATATGATTTGCTTAAAATATCAAAACATTGTGCAGAAGCAGCTATCTAACCTGCTGTTTAATACTGCTTGCTCTCATTTTCCTCCTGATTCCTACCAGGCTACATTATGTTCCATGAAGGGCTGCATGAGAGCTCTTGTAGCCCAGCTGAAATCTGAAAGTGAAGACTTACAGCAGGTAATGCTCTTTTGAGATAAAATATTTCTTTCCTTGTCTTGTCTGCTTTAAGTTTAATGTGAAATTTTTCTCATACTCATTTCATTAATTAGGAAATACACTTTTCTTGAAAAACATTCTTGTCTGCAGGATCATGTTCTGGGATTTTTTTTGTGTTTTTTTTTTTTTAAATCATAATGTATGTGCTGCAAATCTTATTTTTATGACTGTGATCTGTTAGAGTCTGTTCTAATGGGTCCTGCTGTGTAAAAAAACCAGCCTGAAAATAAAGTCTTTAGGAAGTGCTTCCTGAAGGGTAATCCTCAGAGCTAAGAGAGCAGAACTGTTGGAACTTGTGTAAAACTATTAAATATTCAATTATAATCAACTTTAATACTTATTGCATAGAAAGTTGAACAGGTCTTTAAAAGAAAATCCCCATTTTTGCAGTCTGAGTGAATCACCAGATAAAAGAACAATTTTAAATAAAATTGACCTTATCTCTTAAAATGTTAACAAAATATTCTCTCCTTAACAGGAGCAGGTCGCTAGTTACAATTGAGGACAATGTTAGAATTACAATAGACATTACTGGATAAACTCTGGGATATTAGGACAGGTATTAAGTATTCTTGGAAGGAGAGCCACAGCTCCATGGGCCCCTGATCCCCCTCCAGGATGCCTCCAGCCACTAGCACGTAGACACAATGACACACAGAGCAGAGTCCTCCACTCAGGACAAGTTATAAATGGGATTTAGTAAGAATATGAGACTGAATGTACTCAGAAGGCATGTCCACACAACTGGATCAGACAGTCAGCTGTTCAGGTGTCACTGTGCCTTTCTGTCCCCTGTGCTTTCCTGTGCTGAAAGATGACCTCAATCCACCTGTTTTCCTGCCTTTGAAACCTTTGGGTCCTGCTATCCTGCAATAAGTGTTCTACAGTTCCAGAATACTCTTTCCCTGGATCCCACAAATTGTCCCACATCCCCTACAAAAAGGGCAGAGAGCTGCTCCCTTTGAGTACCCTGAGTGTCACAGGTGGGCCATGGGGTAGTGGGTTCCCTGTGAGAGACTGGGGAGAGCCTGGACAGGGCACAGTTCCCACCTGGCTTTGGGCTCCTGTGCTCCCCTGGCTGTGTCAAGGTGGGCTCTGATGGGCTGGTGGGAGCAGCCAGAGTGGGAGCAGCCAGAGCAGGACTTTCCCAGGCCCTTCCATGAGCCACTGGCTTCCTGCACTCCACTGGAGGGGTGAACAAGGGAGCACACACCTGTAAAGTTTCTGCACTTCTGTGACAATGAGAACATCCATAAGCAAAAGTTTGCTATCAAATCCATTTCATGAGGGATATGCATGCTTACAGCTGCTCATGAATGGGTGGAGTTTAATGTGTAATGACTGTCCACTCCAATGACAACCTATCTCAGTCTAACTGGTGCCAAGTACAAGGACATCTTCTGGAGATAACCATTCTGCTTGTAAAAGGCAATGTATTTTAAAAAGACTTGAAAGAGTTTTATAAACTCCAAAATAATCATACCATCTGAGACAGGCAAATGGTATTCTTCTATTCTCTAAGTGGAAAAACAAGAGAAAAATATTATATAAATGTCTCCCCTGAAATGCTGCAACTCTAGAACAGACATATGAGTTGAGAAAAAATATCTACAAATATTCTACTGGTGTGGGAAGCAGGGAACATGATTTCAAATCTCTGTTTCAAGTACCAACACACAGGAGCCAGTACCTTTGATCAAAGTTGATGCTGAAACATTAGACCAGTCTAGCAGACAATACAACAAAAAGCAGATATTAGCAAATTTTAGGTCAATAACTGAACGTGACAAGTCCATGAGGAAAGTCAGATAACCTGCTAAAAAAGTATCTATCTTGAAATATGTTGTTTTTCTTTCACATTTTGCAGGTCATTGCAAGTGTGTTGAGGAACTTGTCCTGGCGTGCAGATGTAAACAGTAAAAAGACTCTTAGAGAAGTTGGAAGTGTGAAAGCATTGATGGAATGTGCTTTAGAAGTTAAGAAGGTATCTTCTATAAGCAATTATACTGAATTTTTGAGAGATTGCATTTATTCTACACAAAACACTAATATTGTTTGACCATTTTTGATAGCACCAGTTGGTCAAACAGTTGATGTGGTTCAGGTAATTTGCTTTGAAGAAGAATTTGATTTAACATGACAGCAGACTGCAGTGGAGCAATGGCATCTCAAAACTAATATTGATCTGATTTTATTTATGAGGGTTGACTGCTTTTGCTTTTCATTTTCGTGATCTGTACTGTTAAAATAGTATATTTTATAATTTTGTCATTTAATAAAAGCTATTTCCAGTTAGTTGTTATCTACCACTTCTTTAGTGTGTAGATGGGTGTGTATTCCATCCCAGAGACTCCAACTGGTCTTCAAGCCCTTTCTGTGATTGTGGCAGCAAGTATTGAGGCACATATTTGTGATACCTCTGGGGTAGGCAGTACCAAATCCATGGTTGAAGGAAGGAACAAAGTGAACAAAAGTGTGCAGTGCTGCTTGCACCCAGCTTACCACCCCAGAGCAGAACCAGAATGTACACAGCCCCTTTAAGCTAATTTAATGTGTTTCTGAGAGTTCTGTGTCAATAACTGAAAACTTCACTTGTCATGTTGCTCTTTTCCTAGGAATCCACCCTGAAAAGTGTTCTGAGTGCCTTATGGAATTTGTCAGCACACTGCACTGGGAACAAAGCTGACATATGCGCTGTTGATGGTGCTCTTGCATTTCTGGTTGGCACACTGACATACCGGAGCCAAACAAACACTTTAGCCATCATAGAAAGTGGAGGAGGAATACTAAGAAATGTTTCTAGCCTAATTGCTACTAATGAGGACCATAGGTAGGTACACTTCTGACAATTTTTAGCGGTTCCACATGTATATTTATATACATATTTTATATATATAAATATATATGTAAAACATTATATATTATTATGTATTGTTTGTATATTATTTTTATGTATAAATATGTATATTTAGCAGATAGTTTCTATGACCAAGCCTTAATATGAATGCATGTATTAAGTATAGTAACTAAAAGCAGTTAATTTGTAGTACATTTGATAAAGTGGTGATTTCACTTACATAACAGGAATATGCAAACAGATTAAGAGCTGTTGCTTGTTAATGGGGAACTGTAGTAAAAGCTAACTATTCATATTTCTAATAGGATTTGTTTAGCATTCAGATAGAAGCTAGTGAAAATACGAGTTATTTGCAATGGAGCATTCTTAATTGTCCTTTCTAAGGGCAATACTCATTTCTAGAATAATAGGTTTCTTTTTTGCTTTGTCTTTTACCATTTTGAAATGCCACTTACGGATGTTTGTTTTCAATTACTCAACACCAGGCAAATCTTGCGAGAGAACAGCTGCTTACAAACCTTGTTACAACACTTGAAGTCACACAGTTTGACAATAGTTAGTAACGCATGTGGGACCCTGTGGAATCTCTCTGCTCGAAATGCAAAGGACCAGGAGGCGCTGTGGGACATGGGAGCTGTGAGCATGCTGAAAAACCTGATTCATTCAAAACATAAAATGATAGCCATGGGTAGTGCCGCAGCTCTACGGAACCTCATGGCAAACAGGCCAGCAAAGTACAAGGATGCCAACATTATGTCTCCAGGATCAAGCCTCCCATCCCTCCATGTCAGAAAGCAAAAGGCGCTGGAAGCAGAATTAGATGCTCAGCATTTATCAGAGACTTTTGACAACATTGATAACTTAAGCCCGAAAACATCTCACCGCAATAAGCAGAGACATAAGCAAAATATATACAGTGAGTATGTCCTGGACGCCAGCCGCCACGACGATGCGGTGTGCAGGTCAGAGAGCTTTAATGCTGGCAATATGACTGTGCTCTCACCATATGTAAATACTACAGTATTGCCTGGCTCCTCCTCTTCCAGTAGAGGAAATGCAGAAAATTCTCGATCTGAGAAAGACAGGAGTGTTGAAAGGGATCGAACGGTAGGTTTAAACACCTATCATCAAGCTGCAGAGAATACTGGGAATTCTGCTAAGAGAATAGGAATGCAGATTTCTACTGCTGCAGCTCAGATTGCCAAAGTTATGGAAGAAGTAACAAGCATGCACATTCCACAGGAAGACAGAAGTTCTGGTTCCACTTCTGAAATACACTGTTTGTCAGAAGACAGAAATGCCCAGAGAAGATCCTCCTCTGCCCATACTCACTCAAATACATACTTTCCAAAATCTGAGAACTCAAACAGGACATGTCCTGTGCCTTATACAAAAGTGGAATACAAAAGAGCTTCAAATGATAGTTTAAATAGTGTCAGCAGCAGTGATGGCTATGGTAAAAGAGGCCAAATGAAACCTTCCATTGAGTCTTACTCCGAAGATGATGAAAGTAAGTTCTGTAGTTACGGCCAATATCCAGCTGACTTGGCACACAAGATTCATAGTGCAAATCACATGGATGACAATGATGGAGAACTAGACACACCTATTAATTATAGTCTTAAATACTCAGATGAGCAGTTAAATTCTGGAAGGCAAAGTCCCTCCCAGAATGAAAGATGGGCAAGGCCTAAGCATATAATAGATGATGAAATGAAACAAAACGAGCAAAGACAGTCAAGGAACCAAAATGCAGCCTACCCTGTGTACACTGAAAGTGGAGATGATAAACACATGAAATATCAGACACCTTTTGGACAGCAGGAGTGTGTTTCTTCCTTTAGATCAAGAGGGTCCAGTGGCTCAGAGCAGAACAGAGTAGGCCCAACTCTTGGAATTAATCAGAAAGTAAATCAGTCCTTGTGCCAGGTTGATGATTATGATGATGATAAGCCAACCAACTATAGTGAACGTTATTCTGAGGAGGAACAACATGAAGAGGAAGACAGACCAACTAATTACAGCATAAAGTACAATGAAGAGGAACATCATGTTGATCAGCCTATTGACTATAGTTTAAAATACTCAACAGAAGTTCCAGCACCTTCTCAGAAACCATCTTTTACTTTTCCAAAGACTTCTTCAGTGCAACTCAGTAAAACTGACCATATTACCCCAAGCAGTGGGAGCACATCAGCCCCCTCAGCTGGTTCAAAGAGGCAGAACCAGCTTCACCCAAGCTCTGCACAGAGCAGAAGTGGTCATGCACAGAAGAACGCCTCCTCTAAGACTCCCTCTATTAATCAGGAAACTATACAAACTTACTGCGTGGAAGATACCCCAATATGTTTTTCAAGGTGTAGCTCTTTGTCATCCTTGTCATCAGCTGAAGATGAAATAGGACGTGATCAATCCACACGTGGCACAGATGCCAATAACACACTGCAGATTGCAGAACTGAAGGAGAACAATGGGGCTCTACCTACAGAAGGTGCAGCAAGTGAAATTGCATCAACAGCACAACACATCAGAACAAAATCCACTAGACTTCAGACTTCTAGCTTGTCTCCTTCTGATTCCTCTAGACATAAAGCTGTTGAGTTTTCTTCAGGTGCCAAATCTCCCTCAAAGAGTGGTGCCCAAACTCCTAAAAGCCCACCAGAACATTATGTACAGGAAACACCACTCATGTTCAGCAGATGTACTTCTGTAAGTTCCCTGGATAGTTTTGAAAGCCGTTCAATTGCTAGTTCAGTTCAAAGTGAGCCTTGCAGTGGAATAGTAAGTGGTATTATAAGTCCCAGTGACCTTCCAGACAGCCCTGGACAAACAATGCCTCCAAGCAGAAGTAAAACACCACCACCTGCTCAAGGAGTTCAGGTAAAAAGAGAGGTACCTAAAGGAAAAACAACCACTACAGAGAAGAGAGAACCTGGTCCTAGACATGCAGCTGTAAATGCAGCTGTTCAAAGAGTTCAGGTACTGCCAGATGCTGATACACTATTACATTTTGCCACAGAAAGCACACCAGATGGGTTTTCTTGCTCTTCTAGCCTGAGTGCTCTGAGCCTTGATGAGCCTTTTATACAGAAAGATGCAGAGTTAAGAATTATGCCTCCAGTTCATGAGAACGAGCATGGAAATGAAGCAGAACCTGAACAGTCAGATGATACAAAGGATAACCAGGAGAAGAAAGCAGAGAAGCCAGCTGAAGCAGAAAAAGACATTTTGGATGATTCTGATGACGATATTGAAATACTGGAAGCGTGTATTATTTCTGCTATGCCTACGAAGTCTTCACGCAAAACCAAAAAGCCTTCTCAAGCATCTGCTCCAAAAATACCTCCTCCTGTAGCCAGAAAGCCCAGCCAATTGCCAGTTTACAAACTTTTGCCTTCACAAAGCAGACTGCAATCGCAAAAGCACGTGACTTTTACACCAGGAGATGATATGCCACGGGTATATTGTGTTGAGGGTACACCAATAAATTTTTCAACAGCCACATCTCTGAGTGACCTGACAATAGAATCACCCCCAAGTGAGTTGGCCAATGCAGACAATGTGGGTGTGGGAGCAGAGTCAGGGGAGTTTGAAAAGCGGGACACCATTCCTACAGAAGGCAGATGTACTGATGATTCTCAGAGAGCAAAAAGCTCAGCTGTAATTCCCCTTGGCCTGGATGATGACAAAACAGAAGAGGGTGATATTTTGGCTGAGTGCATTAACTCAGCTATGCCAAAAGGAAAAAGTCACAAACCTTTCAGAGTGAAGAAGATAATGGATCAAATTCAACAAGCATCTTCATCTCCAGTTAATAAAAATCAACCAGAAGGTGAGAAAAAGAAGCCAACATCACCAGTAAAGCCTGTTTCTCAAAACAATGAATACAGAGCACGCATGCGAAAAAGCACAGAGCCTAAAAGCAGTGCTAGTAATGAAAGAGGCTATCCAGAGAACAGAGATGCAAAGAAACAGAACCTTAAAAATAATTCAAGAGATTTTCATGACAAATTGCCAAATAACGAAGAGCGTGTAAGAGGAAGCTTTGCATTTGATTCCCCTCATCATTACACACCTATTGAGGGAACTCCTTACTGTTTTTCACGAAATGATTCCCTGAGTTCTTTAGATTTTGATGATGATGATGTTGATCTTTCAAGGGAGAAGGCAGAATTAAGAAAAGGAAAAGAAGGAAAGGAAACAGAAGGTAAAGAGTGCTCTAATGCAGAAGAGTCTTCTTCAAATCAGCAACCAAGTAAGAGGACACAAGTTTGTCAAAAACATGCTGGCAGAAGTCAGACAAAAACTTTCTCTCAGTCAACTAAAGATATTCCAGACAGAGGAGCAGCTACAGATGAGAAAATGCAAAATTTTGCTATTGAAAACACACCTGTTTGTTTTTCTCGCAATTCGTCTCTTAGCTCCCTCAGTGATATTGATCAAGAAAACAATAACAACAAAGAAGGGGAACCTGCAAAATGTCCCGAGGCTCCTGAGCCACAGGTGGAATCCAACAGACCACAGACTTCTGGTTATGCACCTAAATCATTTCATGTTGAAGATACTCCTGTGTGCTTCTCTAGAAACAGTTCTTTGAGTTCTCTTAGCATTGACTCAGAAGATGATCTTCTGCAGGAATGTATTAGTTCTGCTATGCCTAAAAAGAAAAAGCCCTCAAGAATGAAGAGTGATGGTGAAAAAAATAATTCCAGGAACACAGGTGGTATACTAGCAGAAGATTTAACACTGGATTTGAGAGAGATACAGAGGCCAGATTCAGAACATGGTTTTTCACCTGATTCGGAGAACTTTGACTGGAAAGCTATACAAGAAGGTGCAAATTCTATAGTTAGTAGCTTGCATCAAGCTGCAGCTGCTGCATCATTGTCTAGACAAGCTTCATCAGACTCTGACTCTATCCTTTCATTAAAATCTGGTATATCTCTAGGGTCACCGTTTCATCTTACCCCAGACCAAGAAGAAAAACCTTTCACTAGTAATAAAGGTCCAAGAATTATTAAGCCAGGAGAGAAGAGTACACTGGAGTCTAAAAAAGTAGAATCAGAAAGTAGGGGAATCAAAGGAGGGAAGAAAGTGTATAAAAGTATGATCACAGGAAAAGCACGCTCCAATTCAGAAGTTTCAAGTTTGAAGCAACCACAACAGACAAGTGTGCCTTCAATTTCACGTGGCAGAACAATGATCCATATTCCAGGGGTTCGAAACAGTTCTTCAAGTACTAGTCCTGTTTCCAAAAAAGGACCCCCACTCAAAAACATGAACTCTAAGAGTCCTAGTGAAGGTCAAAGTTTGACTAGTTCTCCAAGAGGAGCCAAATCATCAGTGAAACCTGAGCCAGCTCCTGTGACTAGGCAACCATCAGGGTTGAACCAGAGTGCATCAAGCAAAGGACCTTCTAGATCAGGATCTAGAGACTCCACTCCTTCTAGACCTCAACAGCAGCCATTAAGTAGGCCTTTGCAATCTCCAGGACGAAACTCCATTTCCCCTGGAAGAAATGGTATCAGTCCTCCCAACAAACTATCACAGTTGCCAAGAACATCATCTCCTAGCACAGCTTCAACTAAATCCTCAAGTTCAGGTAGAATGTCATACACACCACCAGGCAGGCAGATGAGCCAGCAAAACCTTACAAAGCAAACTGCCTTACCTAAGAGTACCAGTAGCATTCCACGAAGTGAATCTGCTTCAAAGGGATTAAACCAAACTCTCAGCACTGGTGGATCCAACAAAAAGACTGACCTATCCAGAATGTCATCCACAAAGTCTAGTGGAAGTGAATCTGACAGATCTGAGAGACCTGTTCTCGTTCGTCAGTCAACTTTTATTAAAGAGGCTCCAAGCCCGACTCTAAGACGGAAATTAGAAGAGTCAGCTTCATTTGAATCTCTGTCGCCATCCAGGCCAGATTCTCCCACAAGATCCCAACTGCAGACCCCAGTTTTAAGTCCTTCTCTTCCTGATATGTCTTTATCTACTCATTCACCTGCCCAGAGTAGTGGTTGGCGAAAATTAGCCCCTAATCAGAGCCCTACTATAGAATATGATGGGAGACCAGCAAAGCGTCATGACATAGCTCGTTCCCATTCTGAGAGTCCATCTAGGCTGCTGATTAATAGATCAGGAACATGGAAGCGCGAGCACAGTAAGCATTCCTCATCACTTCCTCGTGTAAGCACTTGGCGAAGAACTGGAAGTTCCTCCTCAATTCTGTCAGCTTCTTCAGAATCCAGTGAAAAGGCAAAAAGCGAAGATGAAAAGCAGCATGGAGGTTCCCTTCCTGGACACAAGCAAAGTAAAGAAAGCCAAGCACCAGCAAAAGGTACTTGGAGAAAAATAAAAGAAAATGAAATCCCTCAGATAATGAATGATCCTCAGCATTCTTCTTCGGGTGCCACAAATGGCTCTGATTCCAAAACCCTCATCTATCAGATGGCTCCAGCTGTCTCTAAGACAGAGGATGTGTGGGTAAGGATAGAGGACTGCCCAATTAACAACCCTCGATCTGGAAGGTCCCCAACTGGAAATACTCCCCCTGTTATTGACAGTGTTTCAGAGAAAGGGGGTATAAATGGTAAAGATCCTAAAGAGATTCAAGAAAAGCAAACCACAGGGAATGGAGGTGTTCCTGTTCGTACCGCTGGCTTAGAAAACCGTCTGAACTCTTTCTTTCAGATAGACAGTCCAGACAAGAAAGGCACTGAAACAAAGCCTCTGCAGAATAATCCTGTCCCTGGACCAGAAATTAACGAAAGTACTGTAAGCGAGCGTACTCCATTCAGTTCCAGTAGCTCAAGCAAGCACAGCTCCCCCATCGGTGCTGTGGCAGCAAGGGTGACTCCTTTCAACTACAACCCGAGCCGCAGGAAGAGCAGTGTGGACAATAGTTCTGCACGGCCCTCACAGATCCCAACCCCAGTAAATAACAGCACCAAGAAACGCGACACCAAGTCTGAAAACACTGACTCCAGTGGAACACAAAGCCCTAAACGTCACTCTGGCTCTTACCTGGTAACTTCTGTTTAAGTGCAACAAAAAAAAAAAAAAGAAAAAAAAAAAGAAACCATAAAAACCTGATGTATTATATACAGCAGCTACTTAGAAACTTTGTTTCAAATGAAACAAAAAAAAAAAGGGGATTGATTTGTTTGTTTGTTTGTTTTTATTTGTTGTAAATAGCTTTGATTCTTGTTAGATTGTCCTTGTTCTGGAAGCCATATTTGATAGTATACTTCGTCTCCACTAGTGATATTTTGCAGGAACACCTGATTGACAGTTTGGAATAAAGTTGCTAACGCGAGTGTATTTGTACAGTATGTTTAACATGTATTCCCATGTTTAACACGCATCCCATCCTATTATCCTTTGAATATTGCTTGTCATTGAAATCATGGAATAGCACAGATAGAAATGATGCAGTCATATTGCTATACCAATAATTTCTAGATTACAGACCAACTAAACTACATCAGGGAAGAATTGGTATTATTTATGCAAAAAAATGTACTCATGTTTAGTATTTGTGAGTTCATCTAACCCAATAATTAATCATGTGGCTGTGAAATTCACAGTAATATGGTTTCCGCTGAACAAGCTTTCCTAGCCTGCTTTTCTGCATGAATGGAACTGATGGTTCATTTTATGAAGTAATGATTAACATTTCTGTGGTCACATAATGTGCATAGATAGTTACAGTGTAACAATTTACACTTTCTTTGTGCTCTGAAAAAGAAAAAACAAAACAACAAAAAAAAAAAAACCCACCTGTGTAACTGTAAAAGTTTGAACAAAATTATTTTACCTGAATTAAATTTTATCTTAAAGTAGGTAGAATTTTTTTTGCTATGCTGTAACTTGTTGTATATTCTGGTATTTGAGGTGAGATGGCTGCTCTTTTATTAATGAGACGTGGGTGATGCCTCAACAGAGACTAAAATCAACATTTCAGAATAAATTATTACTATATGTAAGTTGTGTGTGTTACTTCTGTATTACATAAAAAGACAGGATTTTAATTTGAGATGTCACCATATAATGTGGTTGTATGCACTTAAGGCCTGATTTGGGATAATCCTGCATCTCCAGTATAGTTTCTTCCTTATCACTGGCAAATGGCTGTTGTAGGATACTTTTAACATTTGCAGGATCAGACCCCAGGTCTTCTGTAATATATTTTGTAATTGAGACAGTTTCACACATCTCAGGTGCATAACAAGGCTAAAGGCAGGGTATTTCCAGTAGCCATGCAGTATAATTGTTCTCATGACTGCAAGCCTGAAATAGTAATGTATACAAATAATACAAATAACTGTATACAAATAATATTGTATACAAATTGTAAAACAAATGTTTTGATTGGGGATATAATGTAGAATGTGAAATAGTGACTATAAGATGAAATTTTGCTTCTATTTGCGCTCTATGTGCTTTTTTTTAATTTATTTTTTAAAAAATTATGAAGGGAAAAATATCATAAAAATCCCATGGCAGCAAGAAATTTGTTACCGTAGTAGAAAAAGGATTTTATGCAAAACATGACATTTGCTGCCTCGAGCCTTTCTGATGCAGATATAGCTTGCGCTAGAACAATGCTGAAAGAAAACAGATTTGTGCTTTAAAAATATAAATATAGTCTGAATTTAGATGAGGGTTACTTCAAAGTAGAAACATGAGAACAGAACATTAACCATTCTGTGCATGTTTGAACAAACCATGAAATGAAATGGTGTATCAGTTCTGTTGTATCTCAACTGGACTGTTCTACAGGTAACTTTCTAAATAACTGATACGTCAGAATGCCCTGATTTCAGGAAGCCCTGAAATAGAGCAATTTACCTTTATGGTAGCTTTAACACAGTTGCGGAGTTTATCACTTCTGTGGCTTTTGTACTTCTGAGACTGAAATTAATCAATTGAATTCATTATAAATCATGCACTGATTTAGAAACACAATCAAGACACTATCAGCAGGCAGAAGTCAATTTATACTAAAGCCAGTACCAAAAACACCTGTTTGGCAGAAGTGGTATCTTACTTGCTCTTTTGTTCTTTGCTTCCTGTCAGATTTACTTAGAGATATGCCATGTTCCTGTATCACCTTGTGAACCTGTTAAAAAGCAGCACCCCTCTTGTTAGCATTTGAAATATTTTGCATACTGTATCTTCATTAAACTTCTAATATGAATGAGTCTTAGTGTCCTTTTAAAGATTAGATAGAAACAGATTATGTCATGTGTTTAAAGTCAAGGCTTCCTACTGGAGTAGAATATGGAACTCCATCCTTGAGTTTCAAATGAAAGACCACTTTTGTTGTAAATGTTTTGATTTTTTTTTTTTTAATCATTATTTTGTGCTGGGCTTTTAACAACTAATACAAAAATATATGACATAATCCAGAATCGTTGTTTAACACCGGCATTACACATTTGTCCTGTCAATTTAAGAGTTAAAGGTAAACTCAGTCTCAGAAAAGAAATTCTGGTTTACTGAATGCTGTTCAGTTACTAAACTGAATTCTGTTCTGTTCTGTTACTGAAAAATGACTGAAATAAGTTTTTTTAATCAAAAGATAACATGAAACTATAAATAATTGTATGCGTATCAAACACCAGAATGTCTTTGAAAATTATAGTGGCTTCTTGATATAGACTTGGGGATACTTCATGATCATTATAATTGGAAAGTTTCTCTTAGTATCCACTTGAGTAAACCTATATTTGTAGCAAAGACAGGCTAGAGAAACTTTCCAACTATAAGAGTAGTGATACACTAAAATATGCTTCCCATGGGAGTTGTTAAATTTCCATTATAGAAGTTTTAAGAAGAGGTCTATGAAACATCTCATAGGGATGGACTGTAGTATATTTCATATTGCCTGTGTGCAGAGATGGGTGATCTTTTGAAATCTCTTCCAGATCTACATTTCTCTGATTCTTTATCTAAATTACTTAGTATCCACTAAGAGCCTTTCAGAATATTTAAAGACATCCATGATGTTTGATTTATGATGGGGATATAAAGTTATATTCTATAAGCTTAACTAAAAAACAGATCCCAGAAATATAAAATCAAAGACGTGAAAAATGGTTGCAATAAGTATATTTGGTCTTGGATTTTGTTAATGATGTCAGAGTCACAATAGTCAGATTTTATTTATGCTGCTTGTTCCTTGGTTCCATTTGTATGAAGTTGCCACAGCGGGTAAGAGGACATTTATGTCAAGGCAAAACAAAGAATAGCAAGGAGCTAAGGAAACAAAGACTCAATTTACTGTTCTTCTGGGATGCACTGCCCTTCTTTCTTCCAATTTTGGTAGAATTTTTTTTTGTGACTTTTATTTGTGACTCAGACCTTTATCTGTCCTTGAATTAGCTTATCATATCTAGTGCATACCAAACTTATACTTAAAAATCAGTTTCTACTGAAAAATAACTCATAAAGCTCATTTCAGACTGTCTTCTAGCTTTGTCCTCTTGATGTGAGAATCAGAGATCTGACCTCCTCACAATTTGTGTTTGTATTAGTTCACTCTTTAAAATGTGCTTCCATTTTTGTTTCTTGCAGTGTGCCACTCACTGGCACACTAGTAAGGTTACTGCTCAATTTCTTTGTAAGCTCTTCTGACTAAATATTGCAATCTTTAAAGGGGAACTAATCTATTTCTATTTTCATGTGCAGTTCTCTACCAAGAGTATTTTCCCCTGAAACATAAAAGGCAATTCTCACAGCTCTGCCAGATACGACAGCTTAAAAATTGAAAGCCTTGCCACAGTTTCCTAATGAGACTGGAATATTGTTTCAAGCAGGACTTGGCTGCAGAATACAAGTATAATTTATGCTATAAATGTCAGTAAGCAGCAGTATTTTCAACATAGACTAGTACTTCTGATGGTTTGGGGAAGTCAGCTGCACTGTCATTGGTAAAGGAGGAGGGATAGAAAAGGGGCAGTTTCAGAGAGAGTCATGTTGTTCTAGGGATTTCCTTTTTTCCTCAGTGAATTACATAAACTGCACCAGAGAGAAAACAGCTTGTGCACAAATTAATGAGGCATTTTTTTGAAATATACCAGTAGACCACAAAACTGCAGAACCTTAATCTGGAAACTGAATTATGTGATGTCTTCTTAGGAGTACTTCATAGCTGTCCATCCCCTTGATCCTCTTAACAAGTTGGTATCACCAAGAAAGATAACTGTGTTAGCTTCATCTTTCTTCATCTTTCTTAAAGATAACAGTCTATACTATTCTAGAACAGAAGAAAGGGCATGTCCTGTTCAAAGAAGTTTTCTTCTCCATTCCATGCTCCTGGCTGTTAATCCTGGCTCTTATGTGACCTTTCAGTCGACTTGCCCACCTCTTACCTGCTCCACTGATGGGGGTAGTAGGATTAGTACTGCATGAATTTGCTTGGTGCATAGTTGGAAAAGTGCCACCTGAGCCAGCAAAAAAGAAAATAGAACAGCTAGGACTGGTTGAAAGAGGTTGGGATAGTTTCTGTTGTTGGAGGTCATTGGATCGAGCTGTTACAGGCAATTTTATGCCTATATGCCGTGTTTCAGACCTTCACTCATTTTGACACTGCAAAAGCAAATTAAAATGGGATTTTTATTTTTTTATTAACTGAATTTTTGTCTAATGCCCTCTAGTGCTTTGCATTTAAATACCTTACGTTTGAGTAAATCCTTAATCCTGGAAATTCTGACAACTAACTTCAGAATTCAACCAGTATATGGATGTGAAAATAATAAAAAATACACCACCCCCCCCCCAAAAAAAAAGTCTACCGTATGTAAACATCTGGGAGACAGTTTTTAGATCTGCAATATTAAACTCAGTGAAGTAAATCCTTCCAGTAAAAAGACTTATTGCAACTATTTCTTTCCTAGAAAAGGCTTGAAGAGGGAGGTAACATCTCCCTTTCTTAATGAGGTTAGTATTGTAGAGATGATCTGGAAAATGTCCCAGATGTCTTTCCCATCTAGCTTTCATGAAATAATATGAACAGCCATAAGAGCACTAAAAATCGTGTAGACTTCCACCTAAACATAACTTCTTACATCTACTGTAATGCCTTGCAAAGTTGGATCCACCTGTGCGACAGCTTTGTTCTTGATGAGATGTGTGATTTGGATGAAGCTGTGAATCAGAAGTGTCAGTTAATGTAAAGCATGACTTTCTCCACATGTTTAAAACTCCTAGGACTTCCTTAATACCAAATTACCCAAGTGTATTCACTCTCTGGTTCCACAGCCATCTCCTTTGCACTTTGACATTTAACCAGAAGAGATTCCCATTTTCAGTTTCATTTCACATCACATGTAGAAGTAAGATTCCTGCATCATAGTTTCCTATATGCAAAATAACAGTTTGTATCTGTAAATGTGTTTATAGAGAATGTTACGTAGCTAAGGTTGAGTTTTTAGTCAGAATGGTAAGTTAACTGCTATGTGTTGTGTTTGGTTACATATTGGAAGTGCAAGGGAATTTGGTGTGGTGCAGAAGAGCTTTAAGAGTTCACAACATAATTAATGCAGGTGTCAATTAACTTGTGATGCCAAGATGAATTTTCTACTGTCAAGTTTCAGTTTACCAGATGTGCTGTTTACTTACTTTAAGATTGGGGAATGCCTCCCTAGCATAGTTTTGCAAATTACCTTTCTTGGGAAATTTCCACACAGTTACAAGCTTATGTATTAGTGCATTTCTGTGACTTCCAGATTTAAAGAAATTATTCCAATTTTGCTGTTTGTGAAAATATCCTTTGCTTGAGTGGCTGTAGAATTGAAATTACGATTTCAGGAAGATAAAGAGGGAGCTGGTTCACTCAATAAAAAGCACTTCTGTTGAGAGCTCAAGACATACATACAAACAATATATCTAATGCCATCCTTTCTGGTGGGATCTAACATGAATAAAGCTTGTGCTGGATCTCTGCAAGTAAACTGTCATCCTGTGAGACAAGACGAATTTGCCCACCTGTAAATGTTGTTTCTCTTGAACAAACTCAGCCCACGATTATCTTTCTTCAATTTTGTTGTTTGCTTCTGCCTGAGATGCATTACTGTTTATATCCTAACTCTGTAATTAATTATTTCTTCAGTTATTCTAATGTATTTTGTTTCACAGTACACTTATTCTGAATTTAGTCTTGCTATGCATAATTTATTTATTACTTGCAGTGTTACATAAAATTTCCTCCTGATTGCACCTTGTCAGAGTGAAATTGTTTTCTTGGCTACTACTGAAAGTTAGGCATCTGTCCACTGTATTAGAAATATGATTTCATTTAAAAAGGATTTTGTTGTTAAGACACTTCAATAATTCATTATACCAGAACAAATGCTCTAAAAAAACCCATTCATTTTCATTTTAGTGATAATCACAGTTCAGCTAGATAAGTGGAAAAAAGAAGCTTGAAAACCTGGCTTAACAGTAGAGTTCTCTGTTCTCTTCCATGTTTCACCTTAGAAGGAACTGCACAAAACAAAATCTAACAAAATGTAATTCCATAATCCCTCTCTTACAAAAGTTTCACAAGGCTTATTTCATTAAGACTCATAAGCACAGCAGAAACTATTAATTACAAAGTCTTTCCTGTAATGAATGAATTCTTTAGTCCCCAATTCGACTATCAAGGGACCTAAGTTGATTAATTCCCAATACACATACACATACATTTAAGTACATATTTTACACTCCCCTGTTCGCTTTAGACTGACTAAAGTATTTAAACTAAAACAAGGGCATTGTTTCTGATTACTAAGATCCCTTCTTTTCTAATTGTTGTACCACTTTTTCATATTGAGTTCTAATTTGATGACTGATTAGCTGGTATCTGATTTTCAAGTTATTCTAGAAAAAAAATTCACCTAAGTTTTGGTTTATATGCAGAAAAAGAAATTGCCTTGCTAGAAATTTAAATGTTTTATTAAGAATAATAATTTTTTTAAGCTTTATAACTATCATCTGCAATTTAAAGTCAGTAGAGATCATGAAAACAAGGAGACTTTGAGTGGTGATTATATTAAATACAAATGAAGGTCTAACAATCCTCTGTACAAAAAGCACATTGGTAGCAGGGGAAGGCTTGTGCATCTTACCTGACTATTGCTAAGGTCTGCAATGGCACACATCACACTGTAAGTAACTGTGGAAGAACACAAAAGCAGTTCTAAAAATTAAGCCATAATATGAATTATGAGAAAACTCCCAATTTTTATTATTTTTGTAGTATTTTGTTATTCCATTGGGTGATGAAAAAGTGTTGGCATCCTTTTTTTTTTCCTACTACACTGAGTAGCTGAACAGCTGTGATGGATTATTTGACACTTTGCAAGTGTTTTAAGTGGCATTCTTTAACCACAGTTGGCAACCAAGCACTACGCAGCCACTCACTCCCCTCCAGTGGGATGGGGGAGACAATCAGAAGAGTAAAAATGAGAAAACTCATAGATTCAGATAAAGATAGTTAAATAAACAGAAAAGGAAGAAAATTATGATTATGATGATAATAATAATAGTGAATATACATCAAAATAATAGAGAATACACAAAACAAGTTACTCACAATACAGTTGCTCACCACTTGCTGACTGATTCCTAGGCAATCCCTCAGCATGAGTCTCCAGCCCACTTTCTCCACAAGTATATCCTCAGCATGATGCCAGTAAGGTCTGGAATATTCCTTTGGCCAGTTTATGTGTCCCCCCACTCAACTTCTTGTGCTCCTCAGCTCTCTTCCTGGCAGAGCATGAGAAACTTAATTTAGCAACAAGAGCATCAGTGCATTTTCAACATTTTCATACTAAATTCAAAACACAGTACTATACTGTTTACTAGAAAGAAAATTAACTATCCCAGCCAAAACCAGAACATAAATCACTTGGACTTGTTGGAAGTGAAAATCTAGCTGAAGTGAAAGCTATGAATTCAGTGCAAATACTGTATTATTGTGTCACACAAAGATGACTGATGGTTTCTTTAGATCTTGGAAGCTGGCTGTACACAGCTGTGAATTTACACAGCTGTCAGCTGCTTTACAAGGCTGAAACAGAAGGACAAAGAATGGGTGTAAAACTCAGATCTGTACTTAAGAAATAGTCTTTGCAACCAGAAGGAGTGAGACGTGGGTAGAAATCTGCTGGGGTCAGAGGCACAAGAAATGGGCCCTTATCTGTGGTGCCTGGCTCTGACACTCAAGAGAGCACTGCATTTAGCATAACACCATCGAGACAGCTTTTAAAGTTAAGTAAATAAACTAATAGTGTGAGTGTGTAGGTTGGATAGAGTTTTCTTAAGCCACTGGGTGAGAAAGTTAAAGTTTAGGGTTTAAACTGCATTAGTGAATAAGAGACAACATGGAGGATTTAGGGTGTTGTCCCTTTCTCCTCCCTTCACCTTCTTCTAAGGCTTGGATAAAGAATTCTGCAGTGCAGCACACAGGTGTTGGGTCATTGGGTCACTAAGAAAAATAACTTACTTGGCATTTGATTACTGGACAAATAGACATATAAAAGACCTTGGAGAGATTCTTTGTTCTCCATTCTGCACCTTTCTATCTTAGTGTATGTAGCTCCTTGTACTCTGTATATGTGTAATACAGATAAGGAAAAAATAAACAACTAAGCCTGAAGATGAGAAAACAGCTTCTCTCTCATCAGTCTTGGTCCTGGAGAATAAGAACCCAACCACCAGTATCACCGTGACAGAAATACATGGTCTTCCACTTTGCCAATTCCATTGTGGCCTGTTAATAGGGATTTGGGTAGAATCTTGACAATGTGGTGCACAGCATTCCCCTCAGGATCTCAGTGAAACACTGTATAAATTGTTTGCTTACTTCCTACATTAACTCATGCAAGTCAAGGCGTGTATCTAGGTGACATATTCCAAAAGACTTTTAGCTCCAAACACCATACAAATCAGGCTGGTTGTTTCAAGGCCACTTGTTAGCTGCTCTTGGTGGTGCAGCACTTACACAGATTGAGACATTTAAGCCTCAAGTGGCTTTAGAACATCCCACACTCCTTAAATAAGCTATTGATGTTTATTGTCCTCTGCCATTGAGATGAACAGAAGTGGTGCTTCTGCTGGTTCATATGAGTATGAGGTAGTGCCTCTTCAGAAAGCACTTATGCAGCAGACAGGATTCTGGATCGTTAAAACCGAAAGGCAGTCGGTGGATTTAAAGTCACAGAATGGCTTGAGTAGGAAAGGGACCTTAGAAATGATCCAGTTCTGGGTTGAAACTCTGCCGTGGGTAGGGATGCCACTTGATTTGGGAAAATGGTGCATACAGTCTTATAAAAGTGACCACTTAGTGTGGTTAATTCTGTGTGTTGAAGTTTCATGGTAAGTAAATACCAGCAAAATGAAAACTAAATTAAAGACAGCATCATTTCCTCTCTTTGCTGTTGAAAATTCACTGCTGGACAGACCTGCCTATTACTTCCAACTTGAGTCATAATTCATGAACTGTTTTTCACAATGAAAGTTCTGTGGGATTTTTCCCAGCCCTTGTATTTTACTTAAAAATATCCTTCTGGAATTCTCATTTACAAAAATTGTGAAGAAAATTCTTCCCATGTTCCCCCCTTATCTTCAGTAGCAATTGAACAAATGAAGATTTCCCTCTACGTCCCTGCCATCCCTGCATTTCATTTGCAGTCCACTACAGAGCTGTTCCACCAATCCAGCTGTAAATCTGCCCCCTCCTGAAACTTCACTAGTCCTATTATTATATAGGTGTTTTTAGCATGTTTAGACTATGGAGTGTAGCCTCAAGTGAGAAGAAACTGAACATGGATGCAAGGTCTGAGTAAGTAGGTGTATGTGACACTTCCAGTAAAACACTGTGTCACCTCAAATCATCTCCATTTTCTTTGGCTCCCACTTCCAGTTAGGGCATTTGCATTTACCCCAGGTGAATTACAGCTATCTGTCACAACCACGTTGAATTTCCATTTCATATTTGTACAGGGCTCTTGTTATGGGGTTGTTTTGTTTGGGAATGGGTTTCCTTTGAGGTTTGGGGAAGTTTTCTGTTTGGTTTCTGTTGGGGATTTTTTTTTGTTATTTTTCTTCCTCACACACCATTAACAGTAAAAATAGTCTCAATCAGGACACCTGACTTGCTAGTGACAGTGTATATAGAGAGAATTCTCTGCTTTAAGGTTTTGTAGTGCAATTCTCATTCTCTGCCCCTTCCCTTCCACTGCAGAGGCCGCAGATGGAATAACTTCAACAACTTAAACACAACTTTCCAAGACCAGTATCCCTGCTACTACTCTCCAAAGGCATTATCTGCAGTTTTGATGTTTTGCTGCAGACGTGTACAAGTCCTATCCTCACCAGCAATTGTACCTTCTCTTCATAGTGCTTTAAAATGTTTAAAAGCTGTCAGGTGTTGAGTGCTTCTTTCCATTTCTGAGTCCACGGCCAGCAGATCCTCAGGAAATGCATGCAGCTACAGCGTGTCTGAGCTGGAATGCTTTGTGACCTACTTCTGTCTCTGAATTCCTCAGGCTGGAAATATGCAGAATTCAACTCTGAAATATATTTCTTATGGCACTAGAACAAATGCAGTGATTGGATGCTATATACTCAATGAAGTAATTCTACAGTGATGATGGGGATTAAACTGACATCTCACTGCTTCATTTTAGGCATCCTGGTTTCAAGATATGGTGAATTCTAGCACCTATAAAGGAGATTGGTAAGTAATAAGAAGATCTGCAGGAAAAAAACCCCATGCTTCCTCTCTGTGGTCAGTTATGTTTGCCATGTAATCCAGTCTGTAATTCCACAAACTCCATTTCTGACAATTTTTTAATTATTTTTCCATCTGAAAATGATGTGGAAAATAATTTTTGTCTTTGTATTCTTTGTATTCCACAAACTGTGATACAGGCTATGTATTTTTTGCAATACTAAATTTAAATGTTGTTTTACAAGATAAGCCATTAATATGTTGGTATTTAAAAGCTCTGTGAATTTGAAGAAAAAAAAATAACACACAACTGTCAAATAAAACAACATTAAAATACACAAAACCTTTCTCAGTGCCCTGAATCAGGTGGACTGAGGGCAATCTTAATATGCAATGATGGTACTCACAAACTGCAGCAGTGTTCACTGCCTTTAACATACTCTCAGAGCACTGTTTCTCAAGGTGATGCACCAGAAATTGCTTTACAATCTAACTGAGAAACTAAGACCACTACAGAAATCTAAGGGAATAGTATGAAGTAAATTTTAGTATTTTTTCATTAAGTTTTAGCCTGTTTTTCAATTTTAAAAAAAATCAAGCTGTGGCAATGCCAAATAAATTTCTTTGTGCTTCGATTCAAACCCTGCTAGAGCACTGTCCTGCAGAGGTAGATTTATGTTAATACCCTTTTGGTGGGTTCAGACCTCTTTGTCCCAGAAGAAACGTTCATATTGTTCAAACCTCAAATGGCAGTGTGGTTTGTAACAAGGTCTAGGATGACCACATTTCATGCACACCCCATGCCTCCAGAGAGACTATTATATTGCATATATTGAATATATTGCACCCTGATCTGTCCATAGCTTACCCTGTGCTCGCACTGTGCATTAACACTGCTCTCCTCCCCGACAGCCCACATCTATCTTGCTAAAAGCAAGTGACAGCAGTTGGCAGAAGAAGCTTCTGCCCTTGTTGGTTGATGCATTGTTTGAAGCAGTGACAACCTGGACAACAGGACAACTCCCAAGGTAATGGCAGCTCTTGACACTTTTTAGGTGGTAGGGGTCTCAATAAAAAGTCATTCAACAGAAAGACAAGTGTGTGCAAGTAATGGAGATTTAAAACAAAAACACTGTGCAAAGAAAGAAAAACACAGGAAATCCCTTATCAAGCTACTGCTAATGAGAACATTTTGTTGCTAAGCAACAAAATACCTAAGTAATTATTTGTAATGGATTACCTCTTAGAAAGCTACACTTGCTTCTGTATCAGTCAGTTTGATGATAATCTGGAGATAACCCTCAAAAAAACTGTCTTTAGCACTGGACAAGTATTGCATCAAAAACTTCATAACTGATATTCCTCATTTACATAACCTTGTTTTTCAGACGAGGAGCTTGTTGAGTCATGTTTGTGTGGAGCTGCCAAGTGGCTGAGCTGCTCCCAGACAGCTGCAGTCATGCTTCAAAAAGCTGCTTGCTCCTGCTGATGCCGCACAGTTGTGCTGTTCGTGTTTTCTGCAGTACTTTGTGCAGTGCATTCATCCTGACAGAATGAGAGCAAAGACGGAAAACAACAAAACTGCTTGTCATTCAAAAGCCTGAATAGATGATAACTTTTTAATCTGTGCCACTCTGATTATTTCTGAAGCTTCTCTGTAACTCTTAACTCTTTCAAGTTTTAATGAATGGTACTTGTAGTTCTCCCCTGGGGAAGCTACTGTGTGCACTGGGTCTTAGCATCCCCTCTTCAATATTTTGTTGCCAACTGTATGTGTTGCTGGAGCAGAAAAATAATAATAAAAAAAAAGACACCACCACAGATAAATACTGAATAGATACCTTCAGTTCTTTGTCCTGGCACTTGCTGCTGTATGAAGAGTGTAACAGTGCACAAAATATAACCTGTGAAATTCACAGGATGACTGAATGGCTGAAGCTGGCAGGGACCTCTGGGTGTCATCTGGTTCAACCACTGCTCCAGCAGGGTTACCAGGAGCTGGTAGTCCAGGATCACTCCCATACAGCTTTTCAGCATCTCCAAGGATGGAGATACTGCCACCTGTCTGGGCAACCTGTGTCAGTGCTCGGTCACTCTCAAAGGGAAAAGGAGTTTCCTGATGTTCAGAGGGAACTTCCCGCATTTCAGTGTGCCCATTGTCTCTGGTGTTGTTACTGCTTACCCCTGGAAAAACCCTGGATCCATCCTCCTTGCACCTTTCCTACAGGTGTTTGTGTACGTTGGTGAGATCCCCTGAGCCTTCTCTTCTCCAGGATGAGCTGCTCCTTGCTGTGACCTTGGTGACCATTCACTGGACTTTGTCCGTTGTGACTGTGTCTGCCGTGTCCTGGGGAGCCTGGCACTCCTGGTCTGGCTTTCCCAGTGCTGAGGGACAGGATTACCGCCCCGGCCTGCTGGCAACACTTCTGCTGGTACAACCAGACACCACTGGCCTTGCCACAGGGATACACTGCTGTCTTACTTCCCCATCAGGGTCCACCAGGAGGGGCTTTCCTGATGAACTGCTTCCCAGCTGGGCATTCCCAGCCCATGCTGGTGCCTGGGACTGTTCCCTGCTGCGGGACTTGGTTCTTCCCATGCTGAACTGCTTGAGGTTCCTATCAGCCCCTTTCCCCGGCCTGTCCGGGTCCCTCTGGACGGCAGCACCGCCTCTGGTGTATCAGCCCCCTCACAGCTCGGTGCCACCAGCAAGGGTCACCATCGCTCAGGTGCTGCCTCATCTGCCCCTCATCCATAGCCTTAATGAAAGTGTGACACAGAACTGGACCCACTACTGACCCCGTAGCTCTTTCCTTAAGCTTCAGCCTATTTTTTTCATGTAATTGTACAGGAAGCTGTGGTGTCACCAAATAAACGTTTCCCGTCACTTCTCAGATAGATCTTTGATTCAAACACCGCTAGAGCTCTGTGAGTGAAGGACACCACACGGCGCTTTGACGTCCTCCGAACACACTCCGAGGGGTCCGGGCTCCTACAGCCCATTGTTCGGGTGCGTATCAAGGCGTTACCGCGCACCCTCGGAGCTCGCACACCCTCCCCCTCCGCCGTCCCCGCCTCCACTCCCTCAGGCTGGCGGAAGCCCGCTGCGCGCGCCCCCAGCGCTGACGTACCGTGTTCTCACAGGCTGCGGCGCTTGACAGACAGCCCTACTGGCCAGTGGACTCTTACATCTGGCCATTGGGGCGGGCCCTCGCTGCCGTGGCGGGGCGGGGCGGGGGTTCTCCGGGATGGACCGGCACCGGGAGCTGGGGCTGCCCGTGATGCTCGTGGTACATCGGCAGCGTCGGGGAGAAGCTGAAGGATGAGCAGCAAGCCCCAAAGGGCGAGGCGATCTCGGCGCCGGAACTGCTCGAAGTCTTACCGACCTCCACTGTCATTTACGCTTGGTCGTGCCAGGCAGTTTGCTGCTGGTGGTGAACAGTATGAAAAGCAATTCTAGTGCATACTTTCATGCAAAAATAGGGCACATTTTTGTATGAGCTTGTTTGTTTGTTTGTTCGTTTGTTTGTTTCTTTGTTTTAGAGTGGGGAAGGGGAAAGCTTCTTGAGACTTCCTTCCACAACAGTGTGGCAAACCCCACTATATCCACTGGCTAGAAATTGTGTCTGGAGATTGTTGCATTTGGAGCCATTTTAAATAGCATTCAGAGTCAGTTCTGAGAACTGCAGCACTTCAGCCCTGGATAAATTTCTGTTTCTGAGAATTCTAGAAGCAGCTGCAGAAGGTTCTCAGGCTTTCCCCCTGAGCCCCATCTTAATATCATAATTTTCAAAACTTAACCTCACAGGCTTCTTATATAAAGTGTGCTTTGTCTCTGATCCCCACGGTGCTTCTCAGTTTTTAATAAACTGTGTAATACACTCTGGTTTTGTGTCTTGCTGCAGAAATGAGAACTGTATCATAGTAAGTCATAGCCTAATAGCTTCTAGATCTAACAATAGTGAATGCGTTGCATACACTGACATTTACATCTGCTTTCAGGTATGTCCTGAACGATGCACCACCTTTACACTTCGGGTTTCACTCTAGGTTTCTTCAAGTAATATATTAATTTCATTCACATGTATATATTTTTTATATTTTTAATATATTACATTTCCAAAAACATAGTCCAAAGACACCTGAGTTTGAACACCATTGTACCTGGCAGTGCTAATTTTACAGGAATACTACTGTTCTCTGCAAAAACATGCAGTCATGCACCCTTAAGTGCTGTTCTGACCGGGAACTTCCAGAATCAAGTGCTTGATCTCTATAAGGTGGGCTACATGAGCAGGCAAGAAACAAATCTACTTCTGTCCATATCCTAACTTAAAGGAAATTGGAAAAAAATATATGTATTTTATCTTTTCTTGTAAAGTATTTTGTAAAAGGATGTAAAGCTCTACTGTGGACTGAAGATCCCAAGAGATAATAAAATAACAGAGTTTCAGACCTCAGTTTTTCTTCTCTGTAATTTCTCATTGAAAAAAATATGTCTCATTAGTTGAGAATTAGTGTATTGTCTCTATTAAAAAGTGTTATATTTTAGGTAATGGCTTTTGTTTGCATCAGGATGGTTGCACTTAATGTGTATAAATAAAAAAAGAACATGAGCTGGAGGGAGATACTTCCTGAAAGAGCAGATTTCATTCACTGCCCTGTGTTAACTGTGGTAAGTTTAGGGGAAGATTAAAAGACTGGCCTTTGATCCAGAAGTTAAATATTCAGTTGTAAAAGTAATAGGTGTTGCAGTTTAGGCAGTGAAAAGATGATGAAAAGTGATGCCAGCTCTCCAAACAGTGCCTATTCCTATAGGTTTGCAGTAGACAAGAACGGAGAGGGTGGTCCCTGCCACCAATCTGTCAGTGCCTCTGAACAAGCCACTTTCCTACCCATGCTCTTGGTGGGCCCTTGGTATGGACTGATGAACTGCTGTTGCCACCACCCTCTCTGTGCTCCTTGATCCTCTAGGTTCGGGTAGTTGTGCTTGGAAGTATAGGTGGCATCCCAATCCAGCTAGACAGAAACCAGATGCTTAGCTCCTGCACTGTCTGTATTAAAAGGAGGTGAAGACTTTGGTCACAGGGATATTTGCCAACAAAGAACAGAGGACTGTAGAATAAAGATTAAGTGACTTGTAGGAAGCAGGGAAACACTTTTGTTTGGCCAAAAGCATTATCTCCAGAAGACCTTTCCTCACCAAAAAGCTTTCACAAGCCCAGACCTGCATGAAAAAATGCCACAGTGCATGCTGCTTGCACAAGCAAAATTCAGGAGCCCAACTCTGTCAGAGAGGGGATGGAGGTAAAGCAGGGGCGAAGACACAGAGCTCTGCTACTGCCTGTTCTTCCCCTATACTGATGATATGCAGGAACAACCAAGAGTTGCAGGAACATGGGCCAGCCCAGCTTGCATGGCTCCAGGATTTCTCTGTTTTCTCATTCTCCTACCCCAGTGGAGGATGTGGTCCTTATCTATTTTTGCAGGTTTCTCCTTCTGAGGGGTGTGCAAAGAGGTGGGCGAGAGCTTGAAAACATCATTGCCATCACATCTTCAAGGCATTGGCCCATCTCTGAGATGGTAAAAGCTTCTATGAATATGATTACATATGTTCTATTGTAAAAATTAGCTTAAACATAGTAATTCCAAATTCTTTGAGATTTGTAAGGTCGGTGCTCATAGTCCTGTATTCTTGTGTCTTGTCTTCTCTTTCTCCATGTGAACCCTACAGTTCAGGTTTGGGGGTAAATCTCTGGCTGCTCTTTTCTGGTTTGAGGTTTCTTAGGAAATGTTGGTCATGGGCTTGGCAGATATATGTTTTGAGCCTTGCAATTACATGGAGATTCTGAAAAAGCTTTTCAGTTGGTGATAGCATGCCTTGAGAGATGGATTTTCACAGCAAAATCCTCAAGTATCTTCCGTAACTTAATGGTTCTTACACCAGCATCTCATGTTTGATGAGGCAATGACAAATTCAAAATTCAGTGCATCCTAACATCCTATTCAAAGTAATAGTAGCACTACTGTGCAAATCACAACCTACACATGTATCTTAAAGAGAAGTCAGCTACAGGGAAATGAAAACCAGTTGAAGTAGATCAAGCTGCAGATCTTTTCAGCAGGGAATCCAGATATTTTCTTCCCTGTTGACACTCTCCTTTCCATAAGGATGCACATTACTTGAAAAATAGATGTTTCCAAATTTGATCTAGGCTCTCTGGTGTGGTCCTAAGCTTTTTTAAGGTGAGAACATTGTCTAGAGCGGCACTTCTCAGAGAACAAGCTCTTTAGTACATCCACTGGAGTCACATTGTCTACCTCTTGCCATGGTGTGCTTTGAAGAAGGCAGATTGCCTGTGAGTGATTTAAAGGCTCCTTTGGTGTCATGTGGAGTCAAAACTACAGGAGAGCAGAATGTGTCAGGCCAGAGAACTTCATGCAGTTCCTCAGAACTTGGGCAGATCACTGGCTCAACTTTGCTTTGGTCTGGGGTCCCAGCAGCATCTTCTCAGAGTCATGAGGGGTATTTCTGCAGCAAAGCACCCCAGAACACTCATGTTTCCAAACAGAAGAGGTCAGTGACCTCTGTTCTGATAGTTACTGTGAGAAACAATTGTCACTTTGTAAAATTTTAAACGTTTAGTAAACTTTAACAAAATACAACAAAAGATTGAATAAGGAAAAAAAGGACAACGACCCTGGAAACGGCAACCACACCCTACCCTACAAAATGGCTACTCTGCCTTTTACACCCCTGTGGGGGGTTGGTGTGGCTGGGGGAGGTATGGTGCGTGAGGCAACCATGGCCCCACCCCAAGTCTGTCAGTCAACTCTTCTTCGCCGTTCATTGGTGAAAACTGCTTTCTTGCAACTTGATTGGAGGTCAGGTGTTGCCATGCCGCGCCCCCTAGCAACAAGCTCTCTCACGTGCCCCATGCGTGGGGCGCAGGTGCAGGCTGTGGGGAGAGCAGAGGACAGCTGGACAACAGACCACAATAACATAACCATACATCAATGAAGCTTCTTTTAACAGACACACAATATTCATCACCTAGTTGTGAGAGCCAATCATCATATTACCTATCTATCACAGTACTGAGGACGTTGCAGCATAGGGGTATTGTCAAGCAGGACCATGAACTGCTTGTGAAAGGCTGCAGGTACCAGCGAAAGGTCAGTAATCTGAGATGGAATTCATGCTATGTAGACTGTTTCAGCCAGTGTTGACACCTTGTTTTGCAACCACAGAGATTTCCAATAGAATCAGTGACCTACTTGCTACAGTCTTGCTGCAGCAACTTTGAACAAGTTTTAAGACACCAATATTAATAAGGCTTTAACGTTCCCGCGCGTGAGATTCCTTTTCTGCCTGCGCCATGGGTGTCTGTCTCCCTTCACAGCATCTTAAGGCTTGTGGGTTCACACAAACACCAGCGTGATGCAGACCTACCCGCTGTCCTTCTGCAAGGACAGGCTCCCCAGTTTGGAGTTGGGCATACTGCTCCCATGTCGAGGCATTTGAAAATGAGACATCACAGCACACAGCACTTCTAGGTGGCATTTGAGGATTGGGTTTGGTGGTTTTTGTGGTTTTTGTTGGTGAGTTGCGTTTTGGTTTTTTGGTTTTTTTGGGGTTTTTTGGGTTTGTTTTGTTTTGTTTTGTTTTGTTTTTTTTATGCTGCGAAACACAGTATTGAAAATTGCCTAACTAGGCCACATGGGTTGCTAACCTAATTTCCTCCCTCCTTCCAGCTGCTGAAAACAGTCACTGAAATTGGCTTGTGGCTATTCCTTGAGATGATCTGATCTTAGGGCTGCCAGCAGAGAAATGGAGCAAGATTTGCCTATTGTATCTATAGGAGTTGGTACCCTAAAGAGAGTGAATCAACTGCTTCTAAGGGACAGCTTCTTTCTACCCTTCTCCTTAGGAATCTCTGCTGCTGGTAGATACCTGTATCCCTAGTGCTGTAGAGTGAACAGATACCTGAGCACAGACACCTGAGCTGATCCAAAGGTGCAATGTTCTTTTCTGAACTTGCTATTAATGCAGAGGAATAAAGGTAGATGCACCTTTCTTGCTGTATGAGAGACAATACTGCATGCATTTTATCATTACCCCTTGAGGAGCTTGTCTCAAACAGCACATGCACATTCAGAGCATGTGTGAATTACCATACACCTGCCAGCAGGGACAGGTCACAGGGACAGCATCAAATTAAAATATTTGGCTTTGCTGCTAACTTTGCATGCATGTTCTATAAAGGCCATTCAACACATATTTTTTTAGTGGCATAAAGCTTCCAAATATCTGACATCTTTCCTTAGTGATTGTAAATAAACTTTGACAACTTTGCTCAGTTTTAAAGGCAAAAATAGATGAATGCAGTCATCTGTAAAAGTGGTAAATGAAGGCTGGTCTCTGAAGACAGCAGAGTTCAACATCTGGGGCTCAGGCTGAAGATCCCGGAGAAAACAACATCTGATTCTAATGATGCCAAAATAGTTGCAGGTAATCCTCTTTGCAGGGTACCTACCTCTACATCATCATTGCAGAAGGATCCCACTGGCATGACAGTCATGGTAAATTTGTTAGCTTGTGTCGTGCATGCCCCTTGGTCAGTGCAGCGGCTGGAGAGATAGTTCTTACTTTTCTTTGGGGAATGGTGTTGTGGTGTCCAGTGCCTGGCATATGCTTGCCCCCAAGGAGCATGCCTTCCCACTGTGCTCTGTCCGAGTATCCAGGTGCAAACCCATTTCATCTGCTCCATCTACACTTCTGCAGCAGCCCTGCTGACATTTCTCTTGCTCTTCATCCCAGCCTCTGGCAAATCTTAGGCTAACAATGGCCAGACAATGACAAAGAAGTATGTAGTTTGCCTGCACATTGCCTACAGGGCCTTTCTCTGCCTGTAGCATGCCCCAGAATCAAAGATGACAGTGTGTGTTACAGGAAGTGAAACTTTCACACAGGTCAATAAAAAGGAGATGGCTAAGACCAAGAAAACCATCTGTGTGGGTTTTTTTGTCATGTGATAGCCAGGCAGAAAGTGTGCCCACCTCTCCATGGCCAATTACACAGTAAGAGCACATGGATTTTACACCTGTTTGATCAGCAATTCTTAAATATTGTAATTGCTACTAATAATACTGTAATACTTAAAGTATTCATTCTTACACATATTTGTGGAAGTTGCAGTATTTCCATTTCCTCTCATCGTGCTACAGTTAAAAGTTACATTTTAAAGTTCTGGTTTTACTAAAGAATCAAAAGGAACACAGAAATACTGGATGATGTGCAGGTGTGAATTTGAAACACTTAAATAGATTGCTAACAATTAAAAGTCTTTAAAGGAATTTTTCTTGCAAATGCAGTACTTTTTAATCTGGGTCACTGTGGAGAAAACAAAAAGAAAAGTGAAAGAGAGTTTTGTGCAGGAAAATAGGAAGCAAAAAAAGCAAACTCATCACTAGGTTAATTAAACTGGCAGGTTTCTTCAGCTGACTTATAATTCATGAGAAATTCTATAGGTGTATTATGTGTTAAAAAGTAGATGGAGTAGTGATCCCAAAACTGCTGTAGACCTTTATAGTTGTGGACAGATGCATGTAATTATTCATATTGAAATGCTATTATGTTGAGGCTCTAATTAAGAACAAATCAAGTATGACATGTTTAAATACATAGGCCATATGAATTACCTGACATTCCACTGTAATCCTGATGAGTTAAAATAATTTTTATAACTTTATTATCTGAATTGGAGCCAAATGGAATTTATTCTTGTTAAAAAAGAAAAAAGTAATTTTAATATTAATGACTAGATAATTAAATGAGAACCAAATGCAACTCAATGTCCACGCTATCTGTGGTTTTGCTACAAAGCCAAATTTTAAATTTTTATATGTCTTTGGGTTGACATACACAATACATCTGATTTTTATCTAGTATATAGGGTTATTTTCTGCAAAAATTACCAGATTTTCTATTCTATAATAAAGTAACACTTAGGATTGTGGAGTTGTAGCTTTTTTCATTCTCGGCAGCCTCTTGAGTCTGATTCATTCCTCACATCCAGAACAGCTTCCATCCCTATGGAATGGAACAAAAGTTGTGTCAGATAAGCAATGTTCAACATGATATCCTGTTCCCAATTATACCCCTATGATTTTCCTGTGGTTTCTCCTTCTGGGGGCCCATTTTTCCTGAAAGAGAACTTTCAGGCGGTAGTATTTTCAGTTTGCCGTGTGAAACAGGTCCTTCTATAAAAACTTTAAAAAGGTAATTGTGAATATACTGTCAGAATTTGTATCTGCATTTAACTTGTATTTTCATGTCACACATACATGAGAATCAAAGAGCATTTAAAGTTTTTATCATAAAAAAATGCAGGTTTTTTGGGGTTACTCAAATAGAGTGACTTAAAGACCCTAACCCTAACCCTAACCCTAACCCTTATTCCCCACACATAATCCTCATCAGAAATATTTATATTGTTTCTGCAATATATTCTATAAGGTCCTAGAACAGACCAGGAATAATATTTGCTGCAAAGAAGACACAAGGCGTGACTAGGAAGGTTGTGCTATCAAAGGGACACACTGTGTTTTGGGTCAATAGCTGTGGTTCAGCTCAACTCCAAAGACACTGCTGACAAGCCAGAGTATGGAGATGTAGCACATTTCAGAAGGTTCCCTCTGCATGATGGTGAAATTTGTGGTGTCTTTCTTTTCTCACCACTCTGCTTCACTGGCCTCCCAAACATAAGTAAATCACAAAAAGCAGTATTTCTTTAGCATGAACAGAGGTCTGATAAAGTTATTTTCTTGCTGTGTGTTAGAAAAGTGCAGCAAATAAACAGGAATGCATCTGTGTTTTGAAAACAGGAAGGTGAGCAGTGAAAATTCCACCAAGACCATGGTCTCAAAGCAGTCCTCATTTCATACTGCTTCATATTGGTATTCACCAGAAGCTATTACAATGGTTTCTTTCCACATGGAGATTCTTAAAAATCAGCTGCTTTGAAACCTTTGGGTTTACCAGGCCCCTCTTTTTAATTGGCACATCAGGGTTAGTGTGTAAAGAAACATGTAGGAGAATGTTGTTACCCAAGTGGCAATGGCTACTTTTGTCGCTTTGCCAGCACAAATACACTAAATTCCTTAGCTATAATTTCCTTGATACTGACTAGCCTGTACTGTTTGATTACCCCTGTATTATTCCCTTAAATTTCTGTTGAGATTTCCCTTAAATTTCTGTTGAGATTTACACATGCAAATACACAAGTCACCACAAAATTTCTGTCTAGATTCCCATCAGCTGCAGAGCATAACAGTTGCCTTTTGTTGATTAATCACACCAAAACTCACTGTTTGGATTTCTTGTTCTCACTCCAGAGTGCTGGTTTGCCTGCCCAGTTTTTGAAGAGTGTGAGACTAGCTACAAGTGAGACCAACAGAAAGCCAAACTTCTTGCTGTTAGTACCGTTTCTGATACCTGATCCTGCTACCGACTTAATGATGACAAACCAACTTTGAAGTAGTAGCAAAACTGAATGGAAATCTAGATTATATATGAGGCTGCTACCTTTTTTTCTTTTTCTTTCTCTCCTCTTCCTTGCTGTTCATATTGCCAGTACTGAGTCATTTAGCAGTCCTTTTTCTCATTGCAGACGGAGCACAAGCACTTCTAGAAGTTGCTTTTCATGCCCACAATGATGTTCAGAACCTAGCTATTCATGTCAGGAATACTGTAGTATTAAAATGTAATGCTACATGCTGTTGTGCCTCTTTTTAAATTACTTCTTGGTCAGTAATCAGTCCTGGCATCATAACTCTGGTGCAAACATCTGTATTTTTCATCTGCATAATGAGAGGGCTAATGAGAGAATTTTATTACTATGTTGCCAGTATGAACTAATCACCTCTACCCCGAGGAACATACTAATAGCTTTTGAGATGAGAGGGGGAAAAAAATCTGCTCTGTGCTGACTAGATTTGTAAAAATATTTTAATAGCAAATAAATTATCTTTTGCCAAAGTAACTATGAGGGACAGAGAGATAAAAATATTGGGTGATTTTGATATGAAACTGGACAAGAATTAGGAACTTATTTCAATAGCAATGTACTGAGAAATAAACATATTCTCAAGCCAATAGAAGTCTTGGAGGGGCT